CTTCAAATATCATCGCGTTATTCACTTGGCCACTTGCTTTTACAATGCAATGAAGTTTAAATTCACTTGGTATTGTTTTACTTGAATCTTCCCATTGATATTTAGGACTGCATCACTTGTAGTCAGTGGGATGATTCAAACAAACAACAATACCAAGTGAATGGTTTTAGTAGTTGTCGAAGTTTCAACTCCATATTAGTAGAACTGTATGGATGTTTGTATTAAAGATTCTGACTTTGATATTGGTTAACAGTTGCTTTTAGTTCTTATATGTTCTTCAACTATAGGAATATTACCCTTGCCTTATCAATCCTTAATTTCAACCAAACTAATCTTAACAGTTCATTCAATTGAATTATTCTATTATTCTAAGTTATAATTTTATTAGATTCTTTGAATATTTCAAGCGTTACATAAACGAAAAAAGATGACAGTGCACATATCTATTTCATTATTTATTATATAAAACATATGCCTCTTGGTATAAATAAATAATCAAGAAAGAATTCTGATTTGTTTCACAGCTGTTACTATGATTATTCCAATTCAGCAGGATGTTTATCATAGTTACAATGAAATTTTATTGAATCATCATAAAATACAAATGATCTTGATAAGTCACTTGTGTGTGTTTTATGAATATTACCATACACATATATATATACATACATACTCTTTATCGTTTGTCAAATCATTTTCAATATAGAATTTGTACTTTTCATTTCAATTTGAAGTGTACACGAAGTATCCATGACCTTTTAACCTTGAAATGTCATTCGCTGTCACGTGTTTACTATTCTTATTATAATAGTACAATCTAGTTATTCATTTGATGTTGTTTTACTTATATTTTCCTATTGTTATTTAAGATTACAATTAGATTAATCTTTTGTTAGCTTATGTGCATTCTATGTGAATTGTTATAATATAGATTGAAGTTACAATTATGTTATGTTAACTAATGGGATATACTGAATTATTTGCTTTAAATTTATAACTTAACATTTCTACTATAGTGCATTCATTGTGCTGTATATAGAATACAGGTTGAATTCACTTGATATTGTTTTGCTTGTATCTTCATATCAAGGTTTAAGACTGCAATTGATCAATTTGTTATTGGGATATGTGCATAGTGTGCATATGCCTCGATATTGCCTTAATTCACAAGCTTTTATAAACGAAGATGGATAGTGGTTAGTAGTGAAATCCAGGATGCAAGTTTCGTACTATTTGGAACTGGTTAGCTGGATGTACCTGCATCTCAGAGTTGATATTCACCCTGGGACTCGAACCCAGTACCATTCGCTTCAAATATCATCACGTTATCCACTTAGCTACTGAGTCCTGATAGCCACTTGCTTGGGAAGATTCATGTTAACCAAGTGAATTTAAACAAGTTTTTCTTAATAATTAATATGTTTTTTGCTGTTGTCAATATTTACGATTGTGATAAGTGCATCCTACACAGATTTCAACTAAGAGTGACCAACTACAATTGTAAGTATGAACAACGTGAAAATGATAAACAAATTCATAACTATCTGATACTTTGTTCAATGTTTAATGTTTGAATCAACACGACGATTCAGTACACAATCATTACTTGATCAAAAACTCAGCTCCTGATGTTTAAGTTTTATGGCGAATTCTATGTAGATTACATTTTTTAATTTTGTCACATTTTATAGATGATCAAAGGGAAAAATACAAACCATCATATAAGCATTACAAATACAGGATAATTAAAAACTTTCCAGTCCAGTAGTCTACAGGTTAAGCGTTCGCGCATGAGAATGAAAGGCCCTGTGTTCGAATCTCGAGGGGCGGGATTGTGGATACACACTGCTGAGAAGTCCCATACTAGGACGAAACGGCCGTCCAGTGTTTCCAGGTTTTCCATGGTGGTCTAGCTTCAATTGACTCATGAATTCAACTATTAAATTACTTTCTTAACTGTTTATTATATTTTATTACTGTAAATGAGAAAAAAAAAGGAATATTTTGTTTTCTAAAGTGTAGAGCAGCCCACATATTCATTATTCAACAGAATACTGGATTATATAGAAAAAGTAATTGGACATAAATACTGAACAACCATTATTATTGACAAAAGTCACGTTTCATTATTATAAGCAGAGAACATAAATGAGAACAGAAATGAGAAAAAAACTAGCTATGAATAAAATGTAATCGTTTCGTTATACATGTTTATCTTTGCCTAAAATCTTGATTAAGGAAGACAGAAAACATTCTAAAGTACATATAACCATCATTTTATGATAAATGATATTTAATAATTGAATTTATGAGTTAATTGAAGCGAGACTACCATGGAAGACCTGGAAGCACTGGATGGCCGTTTCATCATAGTGTGGGACTCCTCAGCAGCGTGCATACACGATCACGTCCTGTGGAATTCGAATCCAGGACGCGCTCGAACACTTAACCTCTAGACCACTGAGCTGGCCACCATCCAACGGTGTTAATATCTAACTTCAATCAATTCATGAAATTGCACCACTGTCCACCATTGTCATCAATGAGTTACTACCTCACAACAGACCCGGTTGAACTCCACTGGTCACGGCTTCTCACTAGAACCCATAAAACACCTCTCTGATAAATGATATCATTAGGACTTAAAATAAACTCTTTATTGTAAAGAAAACATGATGAATTGTTGTATTTAGTGAAATATTAAAGTATTTATACTGTAATGAATTTGTAATTGATTATAGGTGAGCAATAATAAAAACACTGTAGCATTGAGCAGTTGTTCTGTCATATTATGGGACTCCTCAGAATTGTATCTTAATGATCTCATTAAAGATGTAAAGTAGGACATTAGGTCTTTATGGTGAACATTGATTTTCTTTACCATTAGATCAACATCTAATATTTTACATTTGTAACTTCAGTTAATGTGCAATGTTCCGTAGCTATTTTCCAATGACGTTTTCTCAATCCCGACAAAACGGCCACCTAGTGCTTACACGTTTTTAATGTTGGCCTAACATTGATGGATTCATGATCTCAAATAAAACTTAACAATTTCCAAAACCCTATACTGAAGATAATTGAATTTTTAATTTCAGTTGTTGATATCTTCAAGATTACTGAATAAATATATTTGTCTTGAAGCATCAAGGTATGAATTTCTTTTACTTGTAGTTAATTAATTCACCAAACGATATCAGACGCATTATGAATTTGAAGAGTTGATGTAGTGAACGAAAACTCGGTGGGGAAAACTAATTTATTGTTTTATGCAAATCATACAATGGCTTTGTAAAATATGGAAATCATATATTGAATACATGATTCGCATATTTTCTTTTAATTGTCTTGTACATAGTTCTTCATTCTTCCAAATTGGTTGATATTCCAATTACTCTCTCTTTCTTTCTTCTGGTAGACATTCTACTTCCGATTCCTGTTACATACTATTTACGTCTGTCTGCATAAGTAGTGCATATCACAGTAGGAGTAAAACTGGAATTTATATAATTCTGAAGATATTTTCATCATTGGTTGACATTAGCTAGAAGATCTCTGAGTTTATTGGGCAAGCGACATATCTTATTACATGATCTCCTACAAATGGAAATTCACAATATCCCACTAGTTGGAACCTAATGGTTTTATGTCGCTCAAAGTATGAAATATTTAGATCACAGAGTTGCCATAAACCAATTCTCATTCTTAACAGTTTCATTAGACACAATCACTTGTGGTTGAAATTTTTATGATTACCCGATAGATGTAATGGGGTGATAACATTTTACTCTTTCCTAAATGTTCATTTATGACACGTATTGGTACATGCACAACTCTTAGTTCTAAAATATTATGACAATGAAAGATTCTCAAAGTTTGACAGGGGGATTTTACCTGAAAACAAGGCATATGTAGATAGTTTTAGTGAAGATTTTGGAGATTATTGACTGATTGTTTGTATTTTTGTATCATAGATCGAAGTCAGTTAAGCAGTCACTAAAGACTGGACAAATCCTTCATCTTGGTTAGATGACAACTTACAAACATTTATCCACGACATCAGTAGAGCTTGAAAATAGGTAGTTCAAGTTTTTGATAACCTGGCTCTATGTATAATGATCATTTTCACATATGACTGTTTTTTAAAGTTTTATCAAAGTTAGTGTCTTCCGTGTGTCTCAATCTACTTAACGTTTGCTTTATTTGATTTTTATTTCGTTTTTTAGACTACTGGCAAAGTAGTATATGTTATTTTTATTCATTTTTGAACTACGGTAATTATTTTGTAAGCAAAGATGGGTGGTGGCTAGCAGTGGAATCCAGTTTGACACGCGTTTCGTTCTATTTGGGACTCGTCAGCTGGATGCACCTCCATCTCAGAGTTGATGTTCATTCTGGGACTCGAACCCAGTACCGTCCGCTTCAAACGCGATCGCGTTATCCACTCAGCTACTGAGTCCTGATAGCCACTTGCTTGAGTAATGGGGTAGATCACCCTTGAAAACCCGGAAGCATTGAACGGTGGCTTAGTCCTAGTATGGAACTACTCAGCAATGCGCATTTTTGATATCGCACACAAGAATCGAGCACAGGACTTTTGGTCCTGCTCGCGAGCTCTTGATCTCTAGACCACTGAGCCGACATCCAACGGTGGGTAGACCACCATTGAACACCTGGAAGCAATGAACGGCCTCTACTTTAGTATGGAACTTTTCAACAGGATGCATCTACTACCCCATAAGGAAGTCAAACCTAAAACTTCCAGCCTCGCACGATTACACTTGACCTATAGACCACTGAGCTGACATGCAGAAGACATTAAACAATTATTCACCACAGCTAATGGATGAATACTTCGAAATATTCAATAATTGAAATTATAGATTCCAGTCTTGTAGTCTAAACATAAAACACTCACTCTAAAACTTAAAAATTCTGGATACACCCATTGGAGAGGTGGGTTTCTCTGCTTTCTATGCTTACAACATAAAGACAGTCACTTTTTTTTCTCCTCTCTATTATTCAACAGAACTTGAAATGTGATAATCCATGTTAAACAAAAAAGGATAAACAATCATTGAAAATTAAATGATCATGTCAATATTTTTATGGAATAAAACAAAATATTAAGAGTAAAACCAAAAAAAAATAGTTCCATTTCAAACAAAGGAGGTTCCTCGAATTATTGATTAACTTTATATATCATATTCATAATATTGTACCCATTCTGATAATATTAAGTCTCCTGATTCCAATATGGATCAATTAATAATGGTTTATTTGAATTCATTACTGATATACATAGTAAATGTTGTTGTCTAGTTAATTGTAATTCTAATATATTGTCTAAGCAACATATATGACCAATAAGGCATACAGTTAAATGATTTAAATCCATTTGCCATATTGTTATTTGTGTATGTTTTATATAACCACTAGCTGATATAATTTTATTCCCATTCATTGATATATATAATATAGGTGGATTATCTAATGAATAATTTAATTGTTTACTACCTTGTAAATAAATTGGATCAATTTGTTTACATGGACACCAGCATAGAATACCATAATGAAGTCTTGCACCAACAATAATACAATTATAACCACTTATATTTAATTGTATTAAATCAGATTGATTTATTAAACGTTTACGATTCCATGGTATGGTATATTCATAAGGAATTGATTTAGATTCATGAAAATGTATTAATGACCATACAGTTAAACATGTACATTGTTCTTCATAACTATATTCTGAATGAACTAACCAATAACCATCATAGGATATTGTTGATAATGATAGATTTGGTCCATCTAATCTTCTTGATTGTTGTTGTTGTTGTTGTTGTTGTTGTCGTTGTATACTTTCTGAAAGATGATCATTCTTCATAGCATACATTTCATTTAAATAACCAACATGTTGTAATTTATTCATAAGAAATACACATACACATTCAGAACCATAACTAACTATAATGATACTTTGATTACCACTGATTAAGAATTTCTCAATTGTATTATGATTAGTTAAATGAGTATTGGAACTTAGTTGTAGACTAGTTGATTCATGTTTTGTATTCAATATAAGATGATTATTATATTCTGGATAAATTGAAAAATCCGGTTTTAATCTCCATATAACTTGTCCATTTAATAAACTATAAGCAACAAAATGTGATCTAGTTTCATTTAAACCAAGTAAATATGAAGTACTATCTGGATCATTTGAATGAATAATTTGATATTCAGATAAATCATTTGGTATAATGAAAACATCTGTTAAATGTCTTATATGATTAAGATGAAATTTATTCATGGAATGATATTCTATTTCATAGATTCCCATTCTTTGATAAACTTCCCTTTAACAAACAAAAGAAAAAGAGAAATTGAGCAGTATATTTCAATAACTCTGACTGTAGCTCTTCTAGATTTACTGCCGGTCCCAAGCCTCGGGTAAAGGAGGAGGGTTGCGCATGGGGTTAGCGACTCCATCCCGTAGAAAACTAACTCGCTGAAAAACGCTAACCAGTATATTTCAATATAGAATGATGTATGAAGAAACATTGAATTGTAATGAGAGATATTTAAGAAAGAAAAAACTTGTGTTTTCTATTCTATTATTCTACTATCATATCCACTAAACCCCTCTCTGAAAACTAAACAACATGTGCTCAATAGTGACTGAGTTCAAGAGGTATGGCCTAGAGTTTTAATGAGAAGTAGTGACTAGTGAAGTTCAACCGGGTCTGTTGTGAGATAGTAGGTCATTGATGACAATAGCAGACGGTGGTGCAATTTCATGAATTGATTGAAGTTAGACACTAACACCGTTGCATGTTGGCCAGCTCAGTGGTCTAAGCATTTGCGCACAAGATTGATAAGTTCTGGGTTTGAATCCCACGAAGTGGGATCGTGGATATGCATTGTTGAGAAGTCTCATACTAAGATGAAATGGCCGTTCAGTGCTTCCAGGTTCTTCATGATAGTCTAGCTTCAACTGATCATGAAAATATTCTATTATACTTATGAATTCTGTCAACTAAAATGAAAATTTATTATGTATAGATTGTTTGAATCTTCTCATTCATGTTTAGGACTGTAGTTGAGTCCCGGAGTGAACATCATCTCTGGGATGTTGGTACATTCAGCTGACGAGTACCAAGTGAGGTGAAACTCGCATCCTAGATTCCACTGCTAATCACCATCCATCTTAGCTTATAAAATTAAGATGTTCGACATAAAACATGAAAAGCATAATTTAAAAAATACAATTATGATTCAGGTTAAAAAACGTAACGTTAGAAAGTTGGTGGCATTAGTTCTTCCAAGGTTGTAGATATTAGCTTACCAGTAAGTAAGTGATAACTGCTATGAAACTCAGGGACTCAATCGCCCTTATATTGAAATACGGTAAATGGTACAGAAGTTTTGATCTAAGCTTAGAACTTTCAAACGTCTTGAGTAGCATTTGTCAACTATATAAAATATTCAATTGGTCAAATGTCATTGTTTTTTGTTTAAATTAGAGATAAATTATTGTACTTGTTATACATTCATTCCATTTTTGAATTTAGAAATGAATTCATATACTACTAATAAATGAACCATTTCTTGTCATTTCTCAAATCGAAAGAAATTTAGACGCGATACTAGAAAATTAGCTTAATAGTCAAGGAACATAATGAACCAGTTTTATACAAAGTTGAGTCATTCATATAATGACAACATACAATATTGATAGACGGATATCATATCCCTTAAATTACTGTGGATGAGAAATTATGAACGAGACACTTCATTATAGGAACCGGATTGTGATCTTAATCAATATCTCAACCAACTTATCATTGTCTCAGTCAGAATGATAAAGGCATATACATTAAGGATATATATATCTATTAATCCGGTTTGTCAATCAGTGCTTACAAATCACCGCTCAATCTTCTTATTTACGTAGCTAGTCAACCAAACGTATACACAATACTAAGTATCTGAATTGAATGTTATTGGAGTGTAATAATTCTCACATATAACCTCATATCAAGTATCAGGTCTCGATATGATGATGATAAATTTAAATCACCGCATTTTGAACTTCAGTTCAATATTATATGGTATTTTGGTGGCCCGAGATCTGACTCCAGTTAGATCGCAAGTATGATTGTTATCGAAATATACATCCTGGTTATCCTCGTATATAATTATCGATTAAACTCGCGTCAGTGAATAACAGATGTTTGAATACGTATATTCTGTACATTCATTGATCTGGAAAGATAATCAGAGAGACAAAACGAAGGATTCGAAGATAAGAAAGCGAAACGAAATGACGCTTAATGGAGAAAGTATGTAAATCAACTCCTTTTTAATCAAACATTAATCAGTATTTATAATCACTCAAAAATAAGCTACAAACATGCAATGAATAGGATAAGAAGTGTACACGTACATACGCCCATGTATAAACAGTCAAGGTTGATAAGTGAATAATTAACAAGATCAAAATGTGAATCAAGTAGAATGAATAAATCGACCTGTCCAGAAGTTAGAATATGTTATATATGGGCTTAACATAGTAACCGACACTACAAATTAAGTTGCAACCATCTAAATCCCAATATTTTAAAAAAAGTATCCCCAAATCATTATAAGCAAAGATGGATAGCAGTGGAATCCAGTTTGACACACGCTTCATCTTATTCAGAACTCGTCAGCCGGATGTACCTGCATCCCAGAGTTGATGTTCACTCTGGGACTGAAACCCAGTACCGTCCACTTTAAACGCCATCGCGTTATCTACTTAGCTACTCATGGGATCAAATCCGTCAGGGAGCATCAGTTCCCTCAAGAATATAGGTACACTTTGCTGACGAGTGTCAAATAGCACGAGATCTAGACCCAGGGTTTCCTGTTGACTACCTTCAACCACCATCTTATCTCAACATAATCCACCCAGTGTCGAGTCACCTAGACTGGTGACCATATTGCAACTTGGTCAATAGCATTCGATCTGCACTAAGAAGGACTTAATACACATGTCATTGATCACCACCCAATGATTAATTCATGATGACTTAGTTACTCAGTCCTGACCACCACCTACTTGTTCAATAAGGTAAAACTCTATTCACTTACTTGCATTCTTCAACAATTACAGAATATTCTAATTTTTCCAATGTAATCAATATATGTCCATTAAATATATATTGATCTTTATTATTCCATGAATCTTTATTGAAAGATTTCACATGTAAATATTCAATTAACCAATCATTGATAGAATCATTTGTTGCTAAGTACATTATCCCTATAAATAGATCATTTTTCAATGAATCATAACTTAAAAAACTCATATAATCATGATCATGATCTTGGATCATATAAATTGAACTTATCATTTTGAATGGATCATTCTTTTTCTTTGTTATCATTGATAATTGTTTATTATAATTGAATGTTGTAAATTCATTCAATAGATTACAATTATATAAACAATAACCAATTTCTTCAATGATTGGTTTCACTAAACTTATTTCATTAGAATTTCTTATTGATATACTATATGGTGCAATGAATGTACAATGATTATGTATAAAATATGGTAATAATTGTTTATCATTTATAATATGTGTGATAGATTTATTAATATCCCATATGACTACTTCGATACTACTTATATTCTCATCATTATTAGTAGTATTATAAGATTGAAGAAAATTTTGATAGTTTTGACGTTTTGAATAATTTTGTACCATTGTAATCAATTGATCATTGATTAATTCATAATACATATATAATTTTGGTAATGATGTATATGTTAATAAATTAAAATGTCTTATATATGGTTCCATAGTGATAAATGTATTCAATGATGTCGATTCAATACGTTTAATCCAATTGCCTGTTTCTTGTTCAAATAAATCAATACAACCAATAATATGATCATTGGATAATAATAATGATAATGATCTATTAGCTATAATAATTGGTTTTGATGATCTACTGCAGATACCTAAGATACGTGTACCATAGTGATTTGGACATTTTAAAGAGATCTGTTGAATAGATTGATTCAAATCGAATTGTTCATTATTATGTTCATTTAAATGAAGTTGAAATAATGTTGCTTGTGAATCTCCTCTAACACCACATACAATGTGTAATTGTTTATTATCATTATGATTTAATAAATAACCAGTGATTAATAATTCTGTATTCGATTTAATTGCATTTGGTAAACTCATTGAACGTAATACTTTTTGTTCTAATTTACTATTATGATCCATTGAATCATGAATTATACTTTGTGGTTGATTCATTAAACTAATTGGTCCTATTAAATGTTTCAATGATTGATTCTTCCATAACCATATTGATAATTTATATATACCTTGTTGTAATTTAATAATATAACTTATATTCTTTTGATCATTATCAATAATATGTATAGTACAATTCTCTTTAATTGTATCCAATGCATTCGATTCTTCATCGATTAATAAATAATAATATTGATTTAAATTATGATTAGTTATTGATTTTATATTAAGATCATTTAAATATAATGGCCATATATATATTTTTTGACTTGGTATTTCAATACCTAATATACCATTATCATTATTACCAATCCATATTAATTCATTTATTGTTTGTATTGTATTATAATTAATAATATAATCAATGAATTTATAATTGTCATTTATATTCCATATTTCTAATAGTGTTATAGAATCAATTAAATCATATGTAATTAATGCTAAATATTGTTTAGTATTCGAATATGCTATTGTATTGATTTGAATTGTTTTACGTGAACATGTTAATCCAATACCTGGTGATGAAGACGATGGTGACGGCGATGATGATGATGATGATGATGAGGAGGAGGATGACGTAATACTTGTCGTATTACATGTTAATTGTATAATGATTTGTTCATTTGTACATAAATATAATGGTATATTAAAATTAATTAAATGAGGTATTTTAATATTATACTTTATATTATATTGTTCTAAATTATCAAGAAGAAATTTTATCGATTTTTCTATGATACTACTTTTATCTAATTCATTATCCTCTTTCAATAAAGTAGTATATTCATTCTCATTAAAATTTTTTAACTGATGAATTAGTATATTATTTAATAAATATGGATTATGTTTTAATTCATATTTCCATTGTATAAATATACTTATTAAAAGATGAATATCTGGATAATGATGAAAAGATTTTAAAAATTGTTGAATAAATGAATCATTCATCGTTAAAGAAGTCTCATTCAATTTCTTGGAAGGATCTATTGAATATTCAACAAAAGATAAACAATATAAAAATTCATCTAAACAATTTTGTATTAATAATGAATGATTATCTGTAAATAAATTTAATTGTATTTTGAAATTTAACCAAATTGGATTAAAAATACAAAAATTTTTTAATTTTTGTATTTTATTTAATTTACTTAAATGATATGGTACTTCATATAACCATCTCCAATGTAGATTTAAATTCATATTCAATGTTTCATTAGAATTTCTTTGAATTAATGAAGAAGACAACGACGATGACGACGACGACGACGAAGAAGAGGACAACGACGACAACGACGAAGATTTTTGTTGATTATAAAATATATTCCATTGAAGTGTACGATATTCTAATTGAATTTTATTATCTAAATGATAATATTCTATCCAATATTGAAATAATTGTTGATTTATATTATATAATTCATAACAACCACATGGTGGTGATCTAGTCATATAAATAATACCTAATGGATATAAAAATTCATGAAGAAATCGATGCAACCAATTATAGGTAATATAAACTCGATCTATTTTATCATTTATACATAATTCATAATTCATATCTTGTAATGAATAACGTTTCTGTTTGTTTAAATGATGATAATTATCATTCAATGGTAATTTAATCCAATATAAATTTAATAAATCTTCATTAGTTAAACCCCATCTTGATAAAATAATATTACCAATGATAAATTGTACACGTTTTATACCATAAAATTCTTTTGTATATTTTAATAAACTACTGAATAAGTCATAATTAGTAAACTGTTTTAAATCATTTAATATAGTTTTTAATTTATCTTTTTTATATTTATATAATTGAATGATTATTTTTAATTGTAATGGTTGATATAATCTATTTGTCATTTGAATAATTGATATAAATAGTTCATAATATTTCATGAATTCAATTTCTGATAACCATACTTTAATACATTTATCCATATTATTGAAATCTAATTCATTTAAACAAATTTGATGATAATTGTTTTGACTACTTAAATCATTATGAGTAGTATGATTTTTATCAGCAAAAATAAATGGATTAATTTTATTTTGAAACATTTTATGAAAATATGATATTTCTATTGGATTATTTATCATTGATATAATAAATATTACTGGACAATTTAATGTTGGTTTATATTTTATCCAATGGAATGGAATCCATGATATTGGAAAATTCTCTTTACGTTGTTTACATTCTGGTAAATAAAAAAAATAGAAATAAATGAAAAAAAAACAAGCAACTAATTAGTGGTATCCAATGTTTCATCGATTACATAAGGATTAACAAAGAAGAAATTTGCAAACTTTTGTATATTTATTTCTCTTTATAAGATAGATTACTGAAGCAGATCTAGATTCTAATAACTTTATTCCACTTTGAACTAACATATCTTGAATTTAGTCAATATGTTCAATAATGAATGCCAGTGACATTATTATTTTTATTTATTTTAGCACATAGATATTGGTACAAGGATACCAAATAAACCTCATTTGACTTGCGTGAGGGCTGTGATACTGCCTGGGTGCCCAGACACAAGCAGGTGATTTTCTTAGGAGGCAACACCTGGACCCTTCGACCTAAAGGTCTGATCCACAAGGCATTGGAGTAACGTAAGGAGATGCTGTCCCATGGTAGCTGGTGGCCAACGATTGGTTTATACACCGTCTGTTCCTTCGGGATCCTGAAGCCCATGTGCACCACTGTTTTGGAATCAGGGTTTTCCAATTCCCATATATAAAATATCCGTGTCCACAAACCCGGTTAAAGCGCCGTACATTCGCTCTTCATCCTATCAATTTCGTGAGCAATACCTTTTGCGCAATAAGCAAGTGAGTAGGACTTCCCTAGCAGAGGCTATATACACGCGGCCATGTGAGAGGATTTCGAGAGGAAGAGCGGACAACAGTAAAATGATGCATTCAAAATACTCTATGATCAATGTTTCACCAAGTTAAGTAAATGATTATTTCAATTTGACATCTATTTACCAGTTGCTGTTTTCTAGTTTTCATATTTTTATCACCAACTGATCTCAGATAAACAACTTTTAGAAACTAGCAAATAGTAAATAACTGTTTTGCCTTAGTATGTGGTCCTTTAAGTGTGCACATATACAACACGACCAGTGATTGAAGCCAGAATCATCAGGTTGTGAGGTGAATGTTTATATTTTGAACCCATAAGTCAATATCTTGTGGTTTATTTTGGTCAGTTCATGTATAACTTTAAGATATGCTGCGAAACCATAATCAATGTACTTCAGCTATGTCATATATGAGGAAACTAACCACTAAAAGCATTGAAAAATGGTTGTACAATGTCACGAATTGATTAGGATTGAAAATATAAACCATTGGATTTTGACTTTGTGGTCTACAATTTCAGTGCTCACTGAAAGCTCTAATCATCTCGAGTTCAACCCCTTTGAGGATGGTGTATTTACTTTGTTAAATAAACCCGTACCACGGAGAAACGGCTGTCCAGTTCTTCGTGGTTTTCAGTGATTATCTATTTCTAATTGATGGAGTTCGACAATCCATAACAGCGTAAAGGAGCAGACTGAAACTACTAAAAGAGTACAAAACCCGGATTGTCAAGGCAAATCTAAGTAAAAAATAAACAAAATTTATGTGAACAATACTTCCTCCAACAGGGACAGACAATAACGAGTATAATCTACAAAGCAAAAAGAACAATGTTAACCCAAACAGACCAACTTAATTTGCTCCAAAGGTGAACAATCAAACTACAAAATAGTATTTCTGTAAGAAACTATCTAGTTATCAGCCATAATTAACATTCCTAACAATTAGGAAATGAAGTTACTATCCCTTCTTGATAGATTAAATCAATGAAATCAAATAGGAATAATTAGGAATTCGGTCACCTAATATGACGACTGTTGGAATATAGGATCAAGTAGAACAAGACTAACAAGGTCAATCAAAAAAGTGGATCTAATCAAAGAAGAGATCGGAGCCGAAATCTCCAAGATAAACTAGTAATAATTTCAACTAAATCAAACGATATACATAAAACGTATTTATATAAAGAGTTAGGAAGATACTGTTGCGCGTAGAGAGAAATACTGAGATACTAGGACACGAAAAACATATATGGAGGGAATTCTCCACACATACACGCATATATATGGTATTTTACAGTTAGTTCCCATATAGAATGTTTGTTATAATGTACGTGATTACTGAGTCGTATACAATTCAAATAGGATACTTTGGTTCATTTCTTCTCATTATATCAGACCGAAAAACAGTCTTGTTAGATTAAACTAAAAAGCTATTTTTTTTTAAGGAACATAAACTTCAAAAGAAAATGTTGTCATCGAAACAATGACTGATCAGTTGATCTAAAAGCTCACTTCTACAGGGAGTAAGCGTGCAGAATAACAATGAAATCTGAAGAGGTATAACATTGGAGTTTGTGGAGATTATAGTATTGTAACAGTTGCATTCACTAGTCGATCTAATTTACATCACCATTGAAACCGTAGAAGAACTAGAAGGCCATTTCATCCTAGTGTGGGTTGAGCAAGATCATGAATCGATGAAATTTAAACACTGACACCATTGGATGCCGACTTAGTGGTCCAGAAGTTAAGAGTTCATGCGTAAGATCGAAGGTCCTAGCCTCAAGTACTGCTTGCGGAATCGTGGATGCGCACTACTAAGGAGTGTCATAACTAGTATGAAACGGTCGCCTAGGTCTTCACTGGTGGTCAAACTGAGATAGACTCATGAATTCAACTGTTGCAGCTACAAATTAGACGTAAGAATGTTAGAGGATCTAGAATTTTTAATACCTATGTAACAAATAAACCAAAACTCAATAATCAAGTCTATTTATCATACTAAATTCATGAATATAACAAACAATATTACATATTACATAAACTATAATGCTAACTCTCTATACCTTCCAAGTTTTCAATTCCATCCAGAATAATTACTAATGGTTGCTGGGACGATTGTTCATACGTAGCTTCAATAATAGCTGTATGTAAAGCCGTACGTAGTCCATCGTAAGTCTGAAAGTAAAGTGTTTGATATAAATAAATGAAACATAGCAGTTATAAATCAGATTTCTTTTACATTTCTTCATGATGAAATTACTTTTTTGACTGAGTCAATAATTTAGTCAACCAAACTATCCAGATCAGAGAAGCTGTGACCAGTGGAGTTAATCCATGTCAGGTAGAGACAGATATCTCCCTCAGTACAATGGAAGATGGTAGCGTAATTTCGTGGATTGGTTGAAGCTAGAAATTAACACTGTTGGATGCCAGCTCAGTGGTCTGGAAGTTAACTGTTCGCGTGTGAGACCAAAGGCTCTGTGTTCGAATCCCGTGAGCGGGATCGTGAATGTGCACTGCTGAAGAGTCTCACAATGGGTTTAAACGACTATCCAATCCTTCCAGGTTTTCAATCGTGGTCTAACATTAATCGGTTCATGATCTTAATAATCTATACAACTCAATACTGACAATAAAACTTTGACTAAATCATCCACCTATGCTACAAATCTTCCTTACCATCTTAGAACTGCTATTAAAAAATTAGATTATTTACAAGTATCATCCAATTATGACAATGATAATAATAGATTCTATACATAAAAAGAGATACTATCAGTCTATGCATTTAAAATCATTTCCTATTTAATAAAACATACATCAGATATACTTGAATGATTCATTCGTGTTGAAAGTTCTAAGCATAGATAACTCAATAAATTAAGTAGATTTAATGACATTGTGGAAGATCCAATCATTCTATAGATGACACGTGGACTAAAATACCAAGAAAAAAGAAAAGAAAAGAAAACAACAACAACACATAATTGATCATGTAACTCAATAAAATGTAAATCCTTTCAATAGTTTCAATGTTTTATTAAAACTTGATTAAAGTGAAGAATACTGCTTGATATTTGATACTTTAATACTGTGTTGCGTATCGATGTTTGTATAAATTTATAATCATTTCCGCAATCAGTTTGTTAGTCGGCTACAGCGTAGGACCAGGCACATATGTGCATCGGTCCAAGTTGCCACACCACATTAGCACAGCAAGATGAACGCTGAATTCACAGAAGTAGTTAATTCAATGGTGGTAACATATAAAAGAAAGATTGCATATAAGGATATAGTACAGGGAGAAAGAATTAGTTCGTAGAAAGAAAGATATGAAACGATTTTATTCTCTTAGTTTAAAGAGTGTATACACCGACGCCATTGTGATCGATTCAGAGCCATGTCACCAAGAGACTTCAACCATTGATTACGATAGTCACGCGTACTACAACCAAGTAGTTTGTATCTACCAACATGGCTCAGACTAGAAGTTAGTGACTTTATGGACTGATGCCACGTTTTGGTTTGTCCGCCCTGTCTGTCAACTACTATCCCCCACGTTCACAGCCACATTTGGCTTAATATTATTCAAATGTTATTTTCTATTTTATGGTACGATGTAGTCTGTTTGATTTGTATATAAACCCAGTATGTTTGAAATACAGGACTCATATCGCAGAGGCTCAGATTGGTGTTCTGGACTTAACAGGCGGGGGCTTGGCAAAAAATTTAAATTTCTTGTTTTCACGTCAAAAGCGCTCATCTTCACCTTCATGTCGTATTTCCCACTTGGGAGGATCTTAAACGCTATTGGTTTGTTATATCTTTTAGTATTCTGTTTTGTAACGCTTTTCAAGGACGTCTTAATACTGTATATATACTTTTGATTTGTGGTTGTTGTTGTTTCCATTTCTGGTTGCTTGTGAAATATATTTCCCTTTTCCGAACTTAGACTTCTCTCTCTAGTGAACAGGATTGGTACATAACGGAATAGCTAGCTTATTGATCTTTGTGTCACAGAGTCTGTACTGTCGGTTGACATGTTAAGCTCATATATCTTATTATCGCTTTCGGACAGGCTAATCTATTCATTCTACTTGAGTCATATTTTGACTTTTTTATTTATTCCCTTACTAATCTTGACTGTTTTTATATGAGCTCATATGTGCGTGTACATTTCTTATCCTATTCATTACATGTCAGTAAGCTATTGTTGTGTGACTATAAATATTGATTAACGCTTGACTAAAGGGGAGTTGGCTTATCCGCTATCTCTATTGGGCGTTGTTTCGCTTTGTTCTATTCCATTCAGTTTTCCGATATTTTGTCTGAATCAAAGATTGTATGAAATATACATATTCAGAAATCATTCTCGTATTTGACTTATTTAGTTCCGTTATTGACTAATGCGATTTAAGCCGATGATTAATATACGTGTTGGGGACGTTAGATCCCCAGAATTCACTTGGGAAAGGATCTAATTTTGTAATTTTATTTATAAAATTTTAATTTCTTTGTTTTCGCGCCAAAGGCGCTCTTGTCACCTTCATGTTGTATTTCCCACTTGGAAGAATCTTAAATGCTATTGGTCCGTTGTGTCTTTTAGTACGCTATTTTGTAACTCTTCCCTAAGATAGTTTTGCACTATATATATACGTTTTGATTTGTGTTTGCTGTTACCGCTCGTTTCTGGCTGTTTGCGGAATATACTTCCTCATTTCAAGCTTGGACTTCCCCCTCTAGTTAGCAGGGCTGGGACGCATCAAATAGCTAGCTTAGTGGTCTCGGTCAGTGAATCTTTGTTCTCGTTCGCAGATCAAGTGAACTCGTGTTAGCTTCAAACCTAACAATACGAGCATAGGTGACATAAATATATTTCAATAACAATCATTTATACGATCAAATTGGAGTTAAATCTCGGGGCCATTAAATTGGAGAGCTCATCAATAAACATGATTCAATCTAAATGACAACAAAATAAAGGGATCCTACTAAAAAGTCTTTTATTTTGGTTCACAGACTCATTGAACTTGTCAATCAATTCAAATATAATACTTAGTTACAAATTATTCTAAAATCAATAACTCACTTTACAAGAGAACTATTCACATTTATTGATTTTGTTAATAACATTTTAATTAAACTAGCTAATAGTACAGATTTTCCACTACCCGATTCACCTGTTATTTGAATAAAACTAAAATAATTTTTATCTGTTTCATTATTCATTTGACAATTTGTAGTATGTTTTATAATTAACTCATATAATTCCATTAAGGTTTCCTCTCTAGCAATACACATTGAAGATCTTTTTAATAAACAAAAGAAGATGAATGAAATCTATTTAATGATATATTGTATTAGAAGAGTTAAAACAAAACAAAACAAACTTTATAGGAGAATCATTAGCGAGACTATCATTAATGGATGAACTAATCAGATGTAAGATAATAGGCCATTCCTTCATTTGACTCAATGGTTTAGTGGTTAAGCGTTTGCGCGCGAGACCGAAGATCTTGGGTTCAAATCTTTGGTACAACCGAGAGAGGGAAGAATCAGCCCTCCCTCTCAAAAATGCTCTCATATACAGAAACTGCCAGGAAAGTCTTACTCACTGCCTTATTGGGCAAAAGGTGTTGTTTACGAAATTGATAGGACGAAGAGCGAATGTTCGATTTTTCAACCGGGTTGGTGGACACGGAGAGTCCACCTAGGGGAGTTGGAAAACCCTGATTCCAAAACATTAGTGCACATGGGCTTCAGTACCCTGAAGGAACAAATGGCGTATAAACCAATCGTTGGTCACCGGCTACCATGTGACTGCATCTTCTTACGATGTTCAACTACCTTGTGGATTAGACCTTTAGGTCGAAGGGTCCAGGTGTTGCCTCCTAAGAAAATTACCTGCTTGTGTCTGGGCACCCAGGCAGTATTACAGCCCACACAAAAATTAACTAACTTATATGTCGCATATGTATCTGATGCCCCTTTGTACCAATATTTATGTATTCAAATAAATAAATAACACTAAGGCGTTGCTCAAAGGTCGTCCATAAATAATAGTCTCCCCGAATTATTAATTTCGCTAAATCCATATTTAAAAAAAGTTCATATTTACGATTCGTCACTAATTTTCAAAATGCCACTTTATTATGTCATATATTTCATTCAGTTAATCATGAATCAAAACCGTCATATCTTGCTGTACCGTGTACTACTACAGAATCTTCATTACGAACTTCAATATGCTTCTACGATACGGAGCTGAAACTTGGAGAACTAATACAATCGTTATCAAGAAGATACAAGTATTTGTAAACAATTGTCTACACATGTTACTCATTACTAATTAACCGGATACCATCAACAACAGCCTACGTAGGAGAGAACAAACCAACAATAGCTAAGTGGATAATGTGAAGACTTTTAAAGTGGACAGAACTGAGTATGATTCCTGGAGTAGACATTAACTCTAGGATGCAAGCGCATCCATTTGACAAGTCCCAAATCGAACAAAATCCACGTCCTGGATTTCACTACTAGCCATCATTCATCTTTCCTTATATTTTGAAGAATTTTATTTACTAAATCACTTACAATTTCTCTATGGTTTCTAAATGAGCTGACATTTCATATTCTAAACACCAATGATATAAATTATTCCATTTATCCATTTTTCTATCATCTATTTCCATTGAATAACGTCTATTCATTTCTTCAATTAAACTTTCACTAAATTTATTACGTATATTACGACACATATCATTTAAATAGATTGTATGCTCTTGATAATGTATTGGATCTAAATAAGATTGTGAACAATGGATTTGATCATTCAATGTAATCAATGGAGATTTTTCTAATTCATAATAAGATTGATTATCAGCTGGTACCTAATAAAGTTAATATAAAATAAAATAGAATAAATGGTAATAAGTAAAGGAATTGGTGAGACTGCAATTTATGGACGAGCCAATCAAAGGCGTTTTAGAGGTTCCAAGGTTATGGCGCCAACTTCAGTGCTTAATGCTAATGTACGATTGGTTCACAGGGAATTTTGTACAAAACCTGATAATTGAGCGGCTATAACAAATAAAATGACGAGACTATAATTTGTGGACGAATCAATCAGGTATAACATTACAGATCTCGGATTTGGGCACGAAAGCCTTTCATCCATTTGGGTAAATAGATTTCTGGCATTATGGCTGATGTCAGTTCGTGATGAAAACCCCATATATTATTCCTAACTGAGGCAAATTATGACAACTATCGCGGACTGGATAATAAAAGCACCAGTAACATTGGCTGCAGCCGGGTATTACAATATATACGGATGGTTGAGCCACGTCTTACGTATGCCTGAACACCTAGTACCACGACGTGCAATGCTAACCGGTGTTGGAGATAGTTTGAAGAAAGTTAGGGGCGGCCAAACCAAAACGTGGCATCAGTCCATAAAGTCACTAACTTCTAGTCTGAGCCATGTTGGGAGATGCAGACTACTTGGTTGTGGTGTGCGTGACTATCGTAATCAATGGTTGGAGACTCTTGGTGATATGGCTCAGAATCGATCACAATGGGGTCGGGGTATACACTCTCTGTCTTCCCTTAAACTAAGAGAATAAAATCGTTGCATATATTTCTTTCTATGAACTAATTCTTTCTCCCTGTACTATATCCTTATATGCAATCTTTCTTTTATATGTTACTACCTCTGAATCAACTATTTTTATGAATCCGGTGTCCATCTTGTTGTGTTAATGAGGTATGGCAACTTGGACCGATGCATATATGTGCGTGGTCCAACGTTGTAGCTGACTGACTGACTGTACAGACTCTTACCTAGGCTTCGTTATGTACATCGTGTCGTTATCCACAAGTAGCATTTTGTGCACTCAAAAAACCGGAGTGCACATAAACAATATTGAAACTATGTGGTCGAGACTTTACCATGGCTCCAGAAGCCGACTATTCTGTAGCCGTATGGATGATTTACCCTACTGTATCCATTACGAGTTTAGAACCTGTGAACCTCTTTCTAACCTTGACAAGTTTTTGAACCACGTATAAAAATTGTATCCACTTTATTTCCTTGGTTTTGTATAACATATTTTTACTCTATACTGACTGTTTGCTGATTGACTATTATTTCTCAAGGTCACTTAAGATTCGTTCAAAAGTCGTCCATAAATTATAATTTCGCCGAGGAATTTGTTGAAATTGTATTCTATAAACTAGACGATTAAATCGTAAAGTTCGTCATCGTATAACAGAACACTATTCCTCGTGGTTAAGCAAAGGACAAGTAAGAATGATTAAAAGTTTTCGCTCACTTGGTTGACACAAGTCATCAAGTTGAACTGAATAAAGCTTTAAGGTTATCTAACATATTCCATCAAATTTGCTACATGGTTTACGAGTACGTCTTTTACACATTGCTAAAACCATCACAATCCATGTGTCACAAACCTAACCTTTGCATTCAAAAGAAATTTGTACAACCACTTTCGCTACCTTGGCCATCGGTTTAAGAGTGCTTGCACTAGAACTATTTTCGTACTTCTTCCATCTGGTTTTTTCCTTTTTTTTTGGAACCTTGTATTTTTATCAACATTCATCTCTTGATTCTTACATAACTATTATTCTACTGACTATCCATTAAAATATTCTGTTCGTTCTCTTTTTCATATATTATGGAACGTAGCAACGTCTTGATCTTCGAATAATTACATTGAACATTATCAATCCTCTTTCTTCCAATTACTCAATGTTAATTTAAATGTCATTATGTCAGTATTGTTACGTAACGTATCCACTCGATGAGCATTATTTCATTATTGTAAATCGTACCTATATATATTAGTGTAGAGCCATAATGAAAAACTAATCCAAAAGAAATTTCTTCGCTTGATTTGTTCTTTCTTTATTGTCTTTTATTGTCTTACTAGACAACATTATCATGTAGATAGAAGTGAACTATGAAGATAAGAGTTAATAACAACTTATCAATTTTAAAGTTGATAGAATGATCTATGAGTATGATGTGTGATACTGATGTCGATAGATTTAAGTAGTATGTATTATCAATCACAATTGAAATATCTGGTGGCAGAAGGTTAAGAAAATCAAAGAAAAGATAATGAGAACAGAGAATGATCGATATGGAAATGAATGAACAATGAAGTCTGAGATAATTGATGGATGTTTTACAAATGAGCTATTCACTGTACAGTTTACAGATTTTACTAAGATTTTCTGGTAATTTTGTGTCTAGATACATTCGATTGTTTCCACTTGGATTCCCGTTCATTACACTAGTTATTTATGGAATGATTTTTTATAGCCTACTTTCTATATGAGGTATTTGTTAATGATTTTGTTTTGAACAGACAATTGAAAGCTTTACAACTAATTCATCCAAATTAGAGAATCCAGTTTCAATAAATTGAAAATAATTAAGTGAAGTTAACATTTACAAATTCTAAAAGAGATTTCCAGTAAGATGACAAAAGTAAATAGCTGACGTAGGTAACGTAGTTCAATTAAATATGTAACCTGAGCATATCTACATTTAAAGATTCAAAATACATTGTCTATATTAAAGATTAAGTTTTATATATTTGATTGATGTATCGAAACGAAACCAGTAAATAAAAATTGACATTACTTGGAAACTATTTGGATAATACGATGGCGTTTGAAGCGAACGGTATTGGGTTCGAGTCCCACAGTGAACATCAACTCTGAGATTCAGGTACATCTAGCTGACCAGTCCCAAATTGGACAAAACGCGCGTCCTGAATTCCACTGTTTAGCCTGTCAACTTACTAAACGAAGTTTGTGGGAATTGTGAAAATTGTTTAGTTTTCATCATAGAATTGACTCATTTAGACAATTTCTGAAAACAACAAAGCACTGGACAGCCGTTTCGTCTTAGAAGAGAACTCATTAACAGTATGTAGTCACACCCGTACAAGGAATAGAGAGAGGATCTTCAGACATTAAAGTGAACGGTTACATTCCCAACCATAAAGCTGACATCAAATGGTTTACATTTTTAATTTCAATCAATTATAAATCTTGCCCGACCTTTACTCATTGAATAAAATTAAGAATGTAAACCGTTGAATGCTAAGTTGATGATTTGTAGGTCGAGTGCTAACTGTGATACCTAAAGACTCTGGGTTCGATTTTCTATAAATTTGTGACTGAATACTCCTGAGAAGTCACACACTATGAAAAATTGATGACATCCAGTAGCAACATCATGTTTGTAATGCTGAGGTTATTTATTATGCTCAACTAAAAAGGATTGTCTAGGACAGAGTTCTATGGAGAATCGTGGTGGGCGACCTAAACTCCTCCGAGAGGAGTAACAGGCTTAAGTAAGTAAGTAAGTAAGTAAGTAAGTAAGTAAGTAAGTAAGTAAGTAAGTAAGTAAGTAAGTAAGTAAGTAAGTAAGTAAGTAAGTAAGTAAGTAAGTAAGTAAGTAAGTAAGTAAGTAAGTAAGTAAGTAAGTAAGTAAGTAAGTAAGTAAGTAAGTAAGTAAGTAAGTAAGTAAGTAAGTAAGTAAGTAAGTAAGTAAGTAAGTAAGTAAGTAAGTAAGTAAGTAAGTAAGTAAGTAAGTAAGTAAGTAAGTAAGTAAGTAAGTAAGTAAGTAAGTAAGTAAGTAAGTAAGTAAGTAAGTAAGTAAGTAAGTAAGTAAGTAAGTAAGTAAGTAAGTAAGTAAGTAAGTAAGTATCTGTTGAGGACGTTAGATCCCCAGAACTCACTTGGAAAAGATCCTAATTTTGTAATTTTATTCTGAAAGTTTGAATTTTATGTTTTTGCGCCGAGATGCTTAGTTGACCTACAGTTTACATTTTCCACTCGGGTATCCTTGACTGTCATTGGTTAACAGATTTTTTAGTACGCTATTTTGTGCCTCTTCCAAGGGCGTTTCTATCATTTTATAAATAAACTTGGTTTGTGTGCTTGATGACCTCGTATTTTCTGAGTGCTTGTAGAATACATTCTCTACGCCTCATCAAGACTTCTTGATCTAATTAGCAGGGCCGAGGACAACGGATCAGAATAGTCTATCGCGTGACTGAATCGTTGACCTTCGTTCCGTTTACCGAGTAAAGTGAACTCGTAATGGCATTCAAGCATATCAGTAACCCCCTTATTTAGTTCATCATTATACCATGAAAAATTAAACTACAAAGTATAATTTACTTTTAATCTTGCCCAATTCACAAGTAGCTTTGCTCTGGCTAATGATTCATCAAAAGCATTTGAAAGAAATTCATTTCTTATTGAATTAGAAGAACCAGAATTGATTGTATTTAAATTAGTTCTTGTTGTTGACCATGAAGCTAATGATAATGATCGGGATCTCCAATTAGTTATAGAATTATCCTTATTATTATTATTAATAGATTTCTTTAATGGAATTTTATTATCTTGATGATAACGTATATGAACAAAACAGTCGGAATTTAATTCATTATTTTGTAGAACCATTTCTATTTGTCTTTCAACTTCTAAATCGTTTTATAATAAGAAATAGAATAAGCATAAAGAATAAATCATTGAGATTAAAAATAAAAAAACGAATTAAAGGTGTTTAAATAGTTGAATTCATCAGTCAATCTAAGCTAGACACAACATTGAAGAACAGATAAGGGTGATCGTTTGCTGTAACTGTGCTTAGACAATCGTTTACTGTTAGTAAACATTAATTTTAAGCATAAGGAGAGATATCGTCTAACATGGCGACCCCTTGCACCAAACCAACGATGGAAGAAAATAGATTGAGACACCGTTAAAAACCTGAAGGCAATGGACGACCGTTTTGCCTTAATATGGAACTCCTTAGCAGTGTACATCCACGATCCTGCATGCAAGACTCGAACCAAAAACCTTCAGTTTCGTGTGCAAACACCAATGAGCTGGTATTCAATGGTGTTAATGTTTTGCTTAAATCAACCCATGTTCTTGTGTAACCTTTCATCCATTGTCACAAGTAGATAACTATCTCCATGCGATATGGATTAAACTCCAATGGTCACGGTTTCTCACTAGAACTACGATAAGTCGTCTTGAAGCTAGTCACCAGTAAGCATTTGATTATTATCAGAATGGGGATTTGTGGAGATTGTAGCAATTTTAATAGTTGAATTCGTAAGTCGATCTAATATGAGGAGACTCTCACTAGGACGAAATGGTCTTCAAGTGCTTCTGGGTTTTCAATGGTGGAATTCAACGTTAACATTTCTAATTCATAATTGCTCATTGATCTCTGCCAACAGTTGATTGGTTGTTCTTGCTATTAATTCGATATTGTTGTCGTGTACCAAAATCATGTTTGTTACTATACACTCAATTATTAAATTACAAATTAGGAGTTTTTTTAATGTTAAGCCTTTTCATTTGTTCCTAACTTCTCACTATCTTCATTATAGTAGATGATTATTGTTGAACTTTTTACGGTAATCGTTGGGTCTATCTAATTCTTATAGATCCTGTCTTATAATTGGATAATCTCTCATTCATTCGTAACTTAGAATTACTGTAAGTCAGCTCAAAACAGAAAAGTGACATAGATTGTTACATAGAAACTATCGTGCTCCATCACGCATTAAATCTTATTAATTTGAACCGTTTTATTCCTACACTCAAGAAGAGATTGATGGTCGAATAGCCTTTTTGGTCGTTCTCTTAACTAAGAGAGCGGATGGATCGTTAAAAAGGAACTTAAAAAGAAAAAAATTACTTAGCTTCGAACCTCTACAATACAAGCGAAACCTGATCAAAACCTTTAGTTACCGAATACGCACTACACGTTCTGCGGATATAGTTGACGATGAGCTAAACACCTTGCATAATACTCTTAGGGAGAACGTTTACCCTAGGAAGTTTATAAGTAAATATATGATCACAAAGGTGAAAGTAGGCGAAATACAAACGGTGAAGAAGAAATCTCTATTCATGCGTCTACAATTCAAAGGGGACGTGGCTAGTGAAATATTAACTCAGAGATTACGGAGGACAATACAAAAATCTTTTAACTCAGGAGAACTACACATCCACTGGTAACACCGAGGCTAAAAGTTGTATTACCTAGAATGACCACTTCGTTTTGTATTAATCAGTTTGACTGCTCCTGTGGAGCAAGTTATGTTGGTCGAAGTTTTAGGAATTTACATTTTCGTGCTCACGAACACCTTCCAACTTGGCTAAAAAAAAGGTTTAGTGTAGAAAGTGAACAGGTTGATATTGGCCCATTTAGTACAAACTGGTCATAGTGTCAGTATAAACCAATCTTTTAGTAAAGTTGATTAAACTTTAAATAGACCATAAAAATACATTTTAACCGAGTATTGACAATTCAACAAACTTAATCATTTAATTATCCTGTCACTCACTATTCATCAAAAACATTAGAATAATATAACAAAATGTATGGAATTTACCTGACTGGAAATTATACTTTTCATTTACATAAGACGATCTATCAGTTATATCAGTTTGTCTATTTGAATTGGGAATAGAATCAGTATTCGATTGAATTGTTTCAGTATTTGGTGTCGATATTTCCATATTAGATAAACGATACGATGTAGCTGATGAATTAGTGATTTGACTTTGATCAGAGAAACGCATAAGTAAACATCGTATTCGATGAGAATCATTTAACCAAGATTTTAACTCTGCTTGACGTATATTCTGATCATCGAAACATGTAATCCCTGGGAGAATTTGACTTAATTAAGAAAATTCATAACAATAAAAGTTTCAATTGAATCTAGATAAGGAATACTTAATTTAACAAAGATGAAACTAATTATACTAGAAATGAACAAACTGTATACAAATCTAGTAGGATAATAATGTTTTTCTGGAAGAAAGTAAACCCAAGACAGAGTGGGTTAAAGAATGCTGGTCGGCAGCCCATGCTTCACTGGGGGGAACAGGCGTAAGTAAGTAAGTAAGTAAGTAAGTAAGTAAGTAAGTAAGTAAGTAAGTAAGTAAGTAAGTAAGTAAGTAAGTAAGTAAGTAAGTAAGTAAGTAAGTAAGTAAGTAAGTAAGTAAGTAAGTAAGTAAGTAAGTAAGTAAGTAAGTAAGTAAGTAAGTAAGTAAGTAAGTAAGTAAGTAAGTAAGTAAGTAAGTAAGTAAGTAAGTAAGTAAGTAAGTAAGTAAGTAAGTAAGTAAGTAAGTAAGTAAGTAAGTAAGTAAGTAAGTAAGTAAGTAAGTAAGTGAGTGAGTTAGTAAGAAGAAAGTAAGTTTAATGAGTTAATTAAAGTTATAAATCGTTTATAAACTAAATTAAAAACCTTTGGGTATGATGAAAATAGTCAAAAAGTTAATTTCATAGTCTTTATATACATAATTAAGACTAAGGGTTCATGCGTAGGATCTAAGAAGTTGAGTTTGATGAAGTTGAGGCTAATCACTGTTGAGGAATGCCATACTAGAATGAAATAACTATTCGATCCTTCCATATTGTCAGTAATTGTCTGGCTAAGATTAACTTGTTATTTAATCTACAAGAATTACACTAATACACCTAATATGCTTATTTCAATAATCTTTGTGTGTTAGTTTGACGAAATAATTATCACTTGAATTCACTTGATATTGTTTCACTTGTATCTTCCTATTGTTACTTAGGACTGTAATTGATCAGTCTCATATTGGCATATGTGCATCCTATGCGGACTGCCCAGATATTGCGTTAGATCACAAGCTTTATAAACAAAGATGGATCATTTATTTTCATATTTTGTCTATGAAAATAATTTAACACCTGTTTGCTTCAATCATTTCAAGGTAATGAATTGTATCTAATGCATGATTATTAGTATATTTCTTTACAATGTGGGGTTGTGAATATTGTTGAGTTTAGATTGATATAATGAATGGATCAATGTCTGTTTTCCAACAATTACTTACCAAAGCCATTGGACGGTCGCACAATATCGTGGTTTGGTTGAGGTAAGACATTAATACCGTTGGATGCCAGTTCAGTGGTTCAGAGGTTAAGCGTTAGCGTGCAAGACCGAATGTCCCGGGTTCGATTTCTGTGTGCGGGTTCAAGGAAATACACCTCTGAGTAGTCCCATACTAGGACGAAACGGCCGTCTAGCTCCCCCAGGTTTTCAATGACGGTCTACTACAATAAATTTCGAATATGGTTAATTTTTGTCAAACTTTTATTAACTTATTTACCAGACAATGTTATTCGAACAGTGACAATCCGTTTATTTCTTTGTATTGTTTTATGATCACTATCATATCTTTATAAATATGTACGCTTGATCACATGTGACAGCCGGCGCCGAGATCTCTTTCTAGCTTAAATGTTAATCGCTTAAATATTGTTTGATAAATCATTCTGTTTCTCGTGTATGTGCTTGAATCCTATTATTAGCCTTTGCTGTGCCTTACTGCGCCTTATTCGATTTGACCATAAATTCACCTTTGTATTCGATCACTCATCTTCAAACTATGCAAAGTCTTCTTGAACTGTTGTCGATATTATTCATGATGTTAATCACTAAAATGTTAGTTATTTGTTCCCATTTCTAACTTCAATAACTTCGCAATATTGAGTAACTACCTACCAATCCGAATGATGAGTGATTACCACATTCCTGATATGGTTGAATGCCATCGATCACAGGTTCTTATTTCAAACCCCAGTAATAAGTTGCTGCTGAGTAAATTATTAGTCTTCGGAAAGGAGTTTGTGAAAACTGTTTAGTTTTGTAGTTTACATAACTTAATGATCTTAATTAGACAGTTCACGATATACAATTTTCAAAAATCCTAAACTTTTGGTCATGAAATCTACTTTTAATTTCAATATGTGTTTTTTATAGATAAATTTCATTCATACTATAAAGTGAAAGGTTTTCTCATGTTAGTCATTCTATCTTCTGATATACCAGGTCTTAGGAACTCTACGTCAGTAATACTATTTCTGTGGATCATAAATATTGAGAATAAGTGAGAATAGAGGAATGGGAAACTTTGAATAGCTATTCGTTTAATGACGTCGCAACTTCGATTCTCTTAGAAGTTATCGTTTGACATCTATTTTTTGCTCTTCAAAAATTACACTCAATTAATAACTGATTTCTTATTCAGTTTTGTTCTGAGAAATTCTTTAGTTATATACTTATTGATATATTAATGGTTAAATTCATGAGTCGATTTCCAGGTAGACCACCATTGAAAACCTAGAAACACTAGACGGTCGTTTCTTCCTAGTATGGGACTCTTCAGTAATGCGTACTCACTATCCCGTAAGCGAGGTTCGAACCCAGCACCTTCAGTTTGGTACACGAACACTTAACCTCTAGAATTAAAAAGAAAACAGTGATGTTATGAAGTTTGACATTTTATTCATAAAATAATGTGAGTTATTTGTTTAAATAAATAAGAGTTACTTGTGATCACTTGTCTGAATTTCTGATGTTCCAATTTCACCGTTGTAAGTATCCTTATTAATCGTATGACAAATATCATAATGAAGTTAATCGACTGGTTGTTAGTGGTGTAAGAAAGAAACATATTACCATGTAAACGAAGATACATGCCAATTTAGTTCAGAAAACTACTGATCCCAAATATTCTTTCGTTATAACAGTAGTGATGACTTTTTCTTGAACGAAATGACTTTCTAAGGATTTATTTTAAATCTTACATGTTATTCTGATAAATAATCATAGTAAACAAAATACATCAAAGGCATGGAAAACATATTCCATCATGACAATGGTATAGACCTTTGATGTGATCTAGAAGCTTCGTAACCCAAGTGGATGCTTTCAACAATATTTTATTCTCTAAGTTAGATAATATAATTGGCAAGCTTTCATTGTCATTCTAAATAAAATCATCGGCGCATGTGATAATGAATAGTAAATATACAAATTCTAATATGAGACTTTGTTATAACGGTTGGATTTTCTTCATCTTCACGAATGGGGTGTTAATTTATCATAGACGAATATCTACACTAGATTCCCTTCTAGTGTCTATCCTACAGGACTTCAACACAACTCAGATCAAGAATACATGATTAGTTTGACTAGAACGTAATTATATTTTCAGACCGAAAATCGACAACAAGCCGATACGGTAGTAATAAGGGTAAGGGAATATATAACTCATCTACTGCTGTTAGACTATATATTAGTCTGACTAAGTAAGTAACCAATCATTATCGTCCTCGCCCACACAACACACTTATAGAAATAGTATAAAAAGCCTAAATCTACATGAAATAGGAGCTAGCGATGACATCAAAATACACAACCTAACTGAGAACCGGATTATATATGGTATCTTTGCCACATCTTGACTAGATCTAAGAACCAATTTAGGATTTTTAAAAATTGATTGATTACAATTATGTAAAATTAAAATGAACATACCTAACTGGTTGTAAATATGAAATATCCGGATGTGAATCTGAAGTTGGACAGTACCATTTGTCTAAAATATCTGGATTAAGTGTACGTATAATTTCACTTTTCTGACGTATTGAATCTTCAATTTGTGTCATTTGTATCGGTGTAACATTAGAAAATTTTGAAGTATTCCGTTTGTTAGGTATTGCATCACTTACTGGTGACATATGAGACTAAAATGATTAAAATACAAGAGATCAGTAGATATGTCAGTGTTCAGTAAAGAAAATCGATCACATAGTATATAAACCTAGGACTATTTAAATTGAGATGGTGGTTGGAGGTAGTCAACAGTAAACCTTGGACTTGAGTTTCGTGCTACTTAGCACTCGTCAGCAAGCTGTATCTGTAATCTTGAGGGAACTGATTTTTTTAACGGATTCGATCCCGTGTAATCCAGCTTCACATTCAGAGACGTTACCACTGAGTTATCCGGGCCGCGACTGACTTCCCGTAGGACTGAGATGTATTTACAATTGATTGATCACTGGGTGGTGATCAATGACATGTATGTCAGGTCATTCTTAGTGCAGGTCGGATCCTATCGACACGAGATCGAATCCGTCAGGGAGCATCAGCTCCCTCAAGATTACAGGTATACCATGCTGACGAGTGCCAAGTAGCACGAAACCTGAGTCCAAGGTTTCCTGTTGACTACCTCCAACCACCATCTTATCTCAACATAGTGCAGTCACCTAGACTAGTGGCCACATTGTAACTTGGTCGATAGTATTAGATCTGCACTAAGAAGGATTTGACAAACATGACATTGATCGCCACCCAGTGATCAATCAATTGTAAACTAGTTGAATTGAGTCGAGATGGTGATATTATAAAAATGATGTAAATAGATGAAAAAGCTATCTCCAAGATGCACCAAATCTCAATAAACTTGTAAGATAATATGTATTCCGATGTTTTATAGAATAGATGGATCGTAGCTAGTTGTGAAGTTATCACTATTGATTATGTTTTTGCATTCCATCATACTACTTAATAATATTCGAAAGATTATGTTGTCAGTATGAAGGATCTGTAGAGATTATAATATTTTCACGATTGAAATCACGAGTTAGTCTCATCTAGGCCACCGTTGGAATCCTAGAAACATCAGCAGTGCACTTCCAGTTTTCCAATAGTAGCCTTGATTAGATTGACTCGTAATTTCAACTGTGAATAAGATGATGTTATTATCAATCATTTTTGAATGTGTAAACTTTGTTATCTCTCTCTACTACATAGAGTTGTTACTCCTAAACAGATACGAATACTTGACATTTAATCCATTTAATTATTACTGCTCTATCCGTCTGTCATTTTTAACAGTTTGCCTCTATTACATCTGTTGTTTATTGAAATATTATCTACTTAAAAGAGCCTCCGTATTTGAGTATATCATAGCACTTGGTTCAATGTTTAATATCTCTCTTTACTGATTTAAAAGTAGATCCATATCGTAAACAAATTTATCAGATCTTACATCTTCTATTTAGAATCTTCGGAAGGGTTCTACAACTACAGTTATAACCATATATTTCTTGAGAATTAGAATGTCAACTTGAACAAGTCTAGAAAGAAAATGTTGAATAATATTTCATTTGAATTATCAATATTGATACTCACTTGTTTCATTGTTACCTCTTCAGATAATGATCCTAATGATGTTTGTGAGCCTAAATATCTAGAAAGACGACGTTGAAGACGTGGACTATCAAATCCAGGTAATTTTTCTGATAACATAGTTATTTCAGATTTTAAATCTTCTATCTCTTCTAATGCACTATTTTTAATTTGTTTTATTAAGCTGTTAGGAAGATATTGAGGTAATTGAATAACTGGACCAACTGAACGATTGGATAGTAGAATCTATTCCATATAAATAAAGATTAGGATAAATGTTCATTTACAATTTTTAGTAGTAATTAAAGCATTTTGTCAATGATTAGAATGATAAGATTAATAATCAGAATGTCTGAATGAATCATGATTGTCAGAAGATCCGATGATCCATAGCTTGATCCAGAATGTAAAAATAACTATGCACTATTGAGATATTCCAAAGTATAATGAAACAATTACCCAGTACTCATGGTTTTCAATGATTCTCCAAGTAATATCCAACAATAGGAATTCCATAATAGGACGAAACAGTCATCCAGTACTTTCAAGTTTTCCGTGGTGGTCTAGCTTCGATTGACTCATGATCTTAACCATTAAAGTTACTATAATATCCACAAAACCCTGTCTGATACTAATCAAGATATGCTCACTAGTGACTGGCTTCAAGATAGATATCCTGGAGTTCTAGTGAGAAACAGTGGCCAGTGAAGTTCAACCAGATCTGTTGTGAGATGGTAACTCACTGATGACAGTGATGGATGTGTCACTCAATTTCGTGGATTAGTTGAAGTGAGACATTAACACTGTTAGATGCCGGCCAGCCCATTGGTCTAATGGCTAAACGCTCGTACACGAGACTGACAGGTCCTGGGTTCGAATCTCATGGATGCGCACTGCTGAGGAGTCTCACACTGGGACGAAACAGCCATCCAGTGCTTTCAGGTTTTTTATGATGGTTTAGCTTTAATTGACTTGTGATCTCAACCATCAAAATAATATCTAATCATTTTGAAAATCCATTTATGGGTAATGAACTATAATATTTTAATGAATATCTTAATAGTCCCTCGATATGTGCACAAGGTCATGTATTTCATTTCGACTGCTTATATGATTGAATACATTCCAGAGATTGTTTAGTCTATTCTGATACAGAATCTTTAGACACTGTAATATAGTTGTTATATAGCGATGAGAATAATGAATGATAATTTCTGGAATCTATTTCTGGACTAATACTATATATATATTTCTATTGAATAAACTATGCATATTCATGTTCCTTTTATTATAAGCTTGATTTCGATTCACAGACTATTATAATACGATTTACCGTTCCTCAGTTATACCTAGTCTATTAATTATAGTCTCCAATATTCACAGTCACATTTGGCTTGATCTTGTAAAAATATTGTTTTCTATTTTGTTTGGCTTGTATATGAACCTAGTATGTTTGAAATACAGGATTCATATCGCAGAGGCTTAGGTTTGTGTTCTGGACTCAATAGGCAAGGCCAGTCAGGAAGAAGGACCGATGAGGACTCTAGACTGCTCGTACAGGTTTTATGCGTCATTGGTTAGATCGATAAATCACTGTTCTTTAATTGGCGGTATCATTAAGTTGTATATTAATTGGGCACCAAGGCCACAAGTTTTAGTCAGTGAAATTTCTAAAATCTCCACAAAACCCTTTCTGAAAATTTTGAGTAAAAAGTAACGATATTATTATTTACACATCTTCAGCTATCCTTTAAATGCTTCATGATTCTTTTAATCCTGCTGTTATAACGATTTCTCCCTGTTTCCCTTTCTGTTCTTTTCAATTTAGTCCTCTCAGTCTTCTGCTGATAGACATTTTAGACCCGATTGTGACTATATACTACTTATATCTATCAGCATAAGTAGTATGCACTGCACATATACATCTGCATATATATATATATATATATATATTAGGTTCACAATCAGTAGATGGTATTAAAAGCTTTTAGTTATTATGTTACTAAAACAAATAAATTGGAACCATATAAATATTCAAATTCTTAGTTATGAATAGATCTATTCTATGAAGGCGACTGTTATTATCTAATTATGAGTGCGTCAAAAATTGGATGAGTGTTTTAATCCATATTCTATTGTTCAATGTTAAGTGTTTGGACAAATATCATTTATCCATTGAAATGAAATAATTTTATTTACTCCCAGTAGAGAATCTATGAAGTTCCAAGTAGCTATATGTGTGAACTTATGTAATCTTTTCTGTTCATGTGTATAGGGGATCAATAAATGCTTATATATATATATTAAGCCTGGCATCTAACACCAAGGCCACTATGATTTTTCTCCTTATTCCTAACAAGGGATTTTGAGGATATGACCATAAAGATTAAAGAAAATAGTGGTTGATTTAATACTATCGAAATATGTATTATGGTGTGTGCTACTGATGTCGACAGATATAAGTAATATATATAATCAATCTACAATGGAATGCCTGGAGACAGAAGGTTAAGAAGATCAAAGAAAAGAGAACGAGAACAGAGAATGATTGGTGCGAAAACAAAGGAACAATAAAGTCTGATACGATTGATTGACATTTAGCAAATTAAATGTTTACTGTATGGTTCTCAGATATTACTAAGATATTCTGTAATGTCGTATTCAAATACATCTGATTGTCTCCACTTGTGTTCTCGTTAACTACAGTATCTAGCTTTACACTTTTTTTCATTCAAATATATTTCTAAAGATGTAATGGACCGAGTAAAAAATTATCTCTTACTGTAACCACTCTCGAACTTGAATCTAAACTAACCATAATGTGATTACAAGAGTTCATTATTACTAATGGGATAATTAATGTACAAATTACTGGCATTTATATTCAACTATGAAACAAATAAAAAGGTACAAGTACTTATAAACAATTGTCTATACAAGATTTTCAATGTCCGTTGACCGGATACCATCAGTAACAATCTACTGTTAGAGAGGACAAACCAGCTCCCATCTGAAGAGGAAATTAGGAAAAGGCGTTGGAAGTGGATAGGACATACACTACAGAAATCAACAAACCGCATCACGATTCAAGCCCCAACTTGGAATCCCGAAGAAAAACAGAAAAAAGAAGGCCGACGAACACACAACGTCAGGAATTGGAAGTAGACATCAAAAAATGAATAACAAGTGAAAACAAATGTAAAGGATTGTCCAGTAGAGAGTTGGATTGAGAATGCTGTTTGGTGATCTATGCTCCTTCATGAGAGGTAAAAGGCCTCAGTACGTAAGTATATAATAAAACAAATATAAACGATTATATCATTTCCAAAATTATCAACGTTTATTAAATGAGTGCTTTAAAGAGTGGAAAGTGAAAACGTATGAGAAATCGATCATTCATACAGCACTGTGTATAAAAAGGGAAATTTAAACAACAATTATAATTCATTTCTTTATGTACGTTCAGGCCTACTGATACAGAGGCGAGTTGTTACTTTTCAACCGAAAACTCCTCACTAGTTTCTATTAACAGATTAATATCTTAGACCTTCATATATTACGAAGAACACGACAGGATAAAGTTCATGATTTCCTATTCAACCACGGGACTTAAATTAGAAAGAATATGAACTACTGGTGATCAACTTAGTAGTTCAATAGTATCATACTCTCAATTGAAAGTAAATTGTAGTTAAAAACTATTGAAACAGTTACTTACCAAACAATTTAGATAATTCTTTTGTTTCATTCTTCTAGACAAATGTTCTTTTAATTCATAATCATCTATTGAATCACCTGATGTTGTATTCATCATTGGCATCATCAACTGATTACGTGGTTCAATATCTGTATCCATACTGTCATCAATTATATTAAGTGTAAATCCACGTTCATTACAAGTTCTTTGTAAATATGGCCAAACATACATTCTTAAATTGGTGAGTTCAATCCGCATATCTATAAGTGAACAATGATTACAATGGTTACTTTTTGTTAACTAGTTCTAACTAGCACGAAACTTAAAATTTATCATCGACTATCTTCCAACCATCTAACGCTAAAATCTGTCATATTGAAGGTTTATACCTTCTTATAAACTAGTAGTATTGTACAAACTTTTAAAACTTTCCGCTTATCCTAATTCTCCTCATATATATTCAATTTGAATTATTTCCATCTTTTATTCTAAAGGATTTCATGGAACTGAGCATCCAGGAACCAACATCAAAACTGGACGCATAAAGTACAATACTCTCTGACTAACATCAATTAATGGTAGGAACAACTTTAACTATCCACTCTTATAGTACTTCATGGTATAAGTTAACAGTCAATTTGTAAAATATTATGCGATAGTTCAAGGTACAAAATAGATTGAATTAACCTGAAATTTCCATGATTTACAGAGATCATCATATAGTTGATTCAAATGATAAGTTTCATTTTATCCATTATGTGATCTAACCTTCTAATTAATTTATTTTCTTGCCATTGTTCAATTGCTAAACAAGTAGAAATAAGATCTAATCCAAATTTTAATTGATCATAATTAGAGAGCAGTTTTGTGGATATTATAGTAAGTTTAATAGTGAAATTTATGAGTCAATTGAAGCTAGACCACTATTGATAACCTGGGAGCACTGGATGTCCTAGTGTGGGACTCTTCAGCAGTACGCATCCACGATCCCGCTTAGCAAGGTCCGAACCCAGAATCTATCAGTCTCGCGCAAGAACGTTTAAAATCTAGACCACTAATTTGGCCGGTATCCAGCAGTGGTAATGTCTAACTTCAACAAATCCACGAAGTTGCGCCAACGTCCACCATTGCCATCAGTGAGATTAACTGATTAACCATTATGTTATATGTTTCGATGTTAAATATTCTTATTTATTTAATCAGAAGACATTTATAACTAGTCTTTTTAATTCATAAAGTATATTTCAAAGAATCTCGGCTTCCACCAAGGCAGTATTCTTACAATTGAAAAACATATGGAACTCAAAACAACTGTCAACCAATATTAAAACCAGAATCTTCAATACGAACATCAAGACAGTCCTACTGTACGAAACTGAATCCTAGAGAACTACTACAACCATCATCAAAATAGTACAGGTATTTATAAATAATTGTCTACGCAAGATATCCAATGTCCATTGACCGGATACCATCAGCAACAGCCTTCTCTGGGAGAAAACAAACAAACTGCCAGCTGATGAGAAAGTTAGAAAAGACTTTGGAAGTGGTTACGAAATTCAATACGAAAATCAACAAACCGCATCACGATTCAAGCCCTAACTTGGAATCCTGAAAGGAAACTGAGAAGAAAGAGATCGAAGAACACACTACGTCGGTAATTGGAAGCAGATATGCATACATTTAGAAAATTACTTTATATTTGCATATGTTTACATACACTTGTTTACTTGATAATTGTGCTTATTGAAGTGATAATATGCAGATTTATAAAAGTTTGATCAAGTTAGTTCTACTTTTATTTTTTGAGAATTCAGCTGTCTCTATCTTCATTTCTGGACGAGCCTTGGTGTTTTCAACATGGAAACGATTGAGCAGGACAATATTGGATGGAGGGTACTGGTGAGCGGCTTATGCTCCTCCACGAGGGGTAATAGGCGTAAGTAAGTAAGCAAGTAAGTAATCTTCATTTCTGTTGTTTAAGAGATTTCTAGGAATCTTCAAAATCCAGTAGTTTAGAGCTGCTTTATTGTTTTAGATTTCACTACCTCTTTGTTATTCCAATGTCATCTCTATGTGATTGTTTTGCTTTTTTCAAGGATGGAAAAAGTGATACAGCGTTAAGTTTAATGATTAAACGGGGTAAAGGGCTCTATATGATGATTGGTTATGAAGCGCATAACTAGTAGTTATAACATGTATGTCATACATATAACAAAATTGAATTCATTTATGATATATTTACCTGTTGGATCTGCTATAACATAAATATAAAGTTGTCTATCTGGAAACGGTTGAGGTTTGGGATGATCTTTGATACATGATAATTGTTTTCTTATTGAATGATTATTATGTAAAATCAATTTGGTTTGATCCGGTTTTTTATGGGTTTGTGTTTTGAATAATGACTGAAAAAAAATTGTATTACATAAGAGTTTAAATCTATTTCTAAGGAATACTGTTATCAGAGATGTTTCTTTTAGTGAAATATATACCATATAGTGTTTTAATGGCCAAGGATCTGACTTCAGTTGGATTGTACGAATAATCGTTATTGAAATATACATTCTGATTTTTCTCATATATAATTATCGACTTAATCTGCTACAAGATAAGCCTTCACATGGAATCCTCAAGGCCAAGGGAAAAGAGGAAGATCAAAGAACACATTACGCCGGGAAATGGAGATAGACATGAGAAAAATGAACAAGAATTGGATGGAACTAGAAAAGAAGGCCCAAGACAGAGTGTGTTGGAGAATGCTGGTCGGTGGCCTATTCTTCATTGAGAGTAGCAAGCGTAAGTAAGTAAGTAAGTAATCCGCCATAATGTATAAATTAAATAAGTCAAATACGAGGATGGATTTTTGAGTACATATATCTTGTACACTTACTGATCTGGACAGACGATCAGTGGAACTAAGTGAAGGGAGAAAAGAAAGTAGAGTGAAGCGAGATGGTGTGCAGTGGAGAAAGCGTGTGAGCCAACTCAATTTAACCGAGAGTTAATCAACATTTATAGTCGCACAAAAATAAGTTACAAATATGTGATGGATGAAATAAGCAGTGCACACACATACGCTTATATAAAAACAGTCAGGGTTGATAAGCGAATAATTAACATGGTCGAAATGTAGCTTGATTAGAATGGATAAACTGGCTTGTCCGGAAGCTAGAATAAGCTTTGTGCGCTTGACATAGGACCAGCCACCACAGTGTAGTTGGATAAAGTCAACGGTAAGCCAATGTGCACTTTTCAACAAGATGTATCTGGAATGTAAGAAATCTGATTCTTCCTGGATGATCTTAATCGACATCACCTAGCTTCACGCTTCGAGACGTTACCATGAAGTGATTCCAGGAACTGGTAATTTTCTATAGCTCTGATGGATTGATAATTATAGGGCTAGTAAGTATTTGACTCCTCGAGATTTCAGGTGTAACTTGTTGAAAAATGCCAACTAACATGAAACCTAGATTCAGTATTACTCATAGACCAACTTTATTCTTCTGACATCTTAATATAGTAGACACATTTGATGAGTTATTTCGATTATTGATCTCATTTTAATTTGATCAGCACAAAAAAGATTAGATCATTATTCACTGTTAGATTGATTGTAAACATTCTGTTCTTTTATCCGAACGATGTATCATTCAATTTTATGATCGTATCAAATATGTAAGTTTACACTATTTGTAATATTTAATTCAGAGAAATGATTTGATAGTAATTTATTATTACTTGGTTGATATTTATGTAATTTCATCAGTTGAAATTGTGAGTCAATGTAAACTAGACCACCATTAAAAACCTGGAAGACGGTTGTCTCATCCTAGTATGGGAGTCTTCATTGATGCGCATCCACGATACCACATGTGGAACCCGGACACAGGACCTTCGGTTTTACACGCGAACGATTAACATCTAGAATGTTGAGCCGGTATCCAACTGTGTTTCTGTTGAACTTCAATTGATTCATGATCTTGTACAACTCTATTTCCCGACGTATTGTGTTCTTTGGTCTTCCTCTTTACCTTTTCCCTTCAGGGTTCCAAGTTAGAGCCTGCACGTGATTCAGTTTGGTGATTTGCGTAATGTATGTTCTATCTACTTCCAACATCTATCCTAATTTCATCTTCAGCTGGCTTGTTCTCTCCCACAGTAGGCTGTTGCTGGTGGTATCCTGCCAATAGATGTTGAGTATCTTGAGTAGACAGCTATTTATAAACACTTGTACCTTCTTGATTATGGTTGTAATAGTTCTCTAAGTTTCAGCTCCGTACAGTAGAACTGTCTTGACGATCGTACTGAAGATTGTGACTTTGATATTGGTTGATAGTTGTTTTGAGTTCCATATGTTCTTCAATTGTAGGAATGTGGCCCTTGCTTTGCCGATCCTCACCTTTACATCTGCATCTGATCTCCCTTGTTCATCGATGAAGCTTCCCAGGTATGTGGAGGATTCTACATCTTCCAGAGTTTTACCATCAAGTGTGATTGGATTGCTGTTCTCCGTGTTGTATTTGAGGACCTTGGTTTTTCCCTTGGATGTGTTGAGACCTACTGATGCAGAGACTGCTGCTACATTGGCTATCTGTATCTGCATTTGTTCGTGTGTATGGGATAGGAGGGCTAGGTCATCTGCGAAGTCCAAATCGTCTAATTGGTTCTGAGCTGTCCATTGTATGCCGTGTTTTCCCTCAGATGTCGAGGTCTTCATAATCCAGCCGACCACCAGAAGAAAGAGGAAGGGGGATCCTTGTACCTATGAAAATTGTTGACCTGGTTGTTATATATGTATATCTGCATTTCACAAACGATAGAATGTTAATAAAACTCACATTTTTATCATCTTCATCATTCTCTAATTTCTCTGTTTCCTGAGATTTGATTCCACCAAATTCAGTATATCTGTCAAAAATCTTACTTTCTTCTTCTGCTTCAACAGTGAGTTCTTCGAATTCTTTCACAGTTTTCTAATTAAAAAAAATATATATAAAGCTTTGATTGAGTGTGAAATATTTATCACTGCTAACAATAGTATACTTCAGTTATCCATTTCCTATGTCATCAGAAATGTGTATCATTATTAGTGTTAGCGATTTGTGGAGATTGTTCAAAAATGTAGTTTACATAACAAACACTGACCTTAGTTAAACAACCTACATAGTACTTGACAATTATTCCATCCTTGTATGGAATTATTCAACATTCTATGACAAAACAGAACCTTATTATTTCCTCATTTTCAATTGTTACCTAAATAAAATCTATTCTTGATTTAAACTATGTCATTTTTAGTACTATCTACTGAAGCCAGTCAACTAACCATCGAGAACTATTACCTAACATATCTTCCTTCATAATATAAAACTCCTAATCTGTTTTGGCTGTTTCTTCGTTTTTAATAGTTTATAAGCTGATATAATCTAATCCTGGGACTGGATTCCAGATTCTTTTGTGTTGGTTGTTTGGATAATCTAATTGATGTTGAGGACTACAGTGATCAGTCTCATTTGTTATATATACATCCTGTTCTTTTAAATTTCCACAGGGTGAATATATTTCAAAAGAGGCTGATCAATTCCATCCCTAAACATGAGTAGGAAGATTGAAATAACCGATACAATTAAATTAAAATCTCACAATCCAGTAACCACCTGGACTCATTAGCTTAGTCGACAGTGAGCTGATGTTTGGAGTAAACTGTATTGGATTCCAGTCCCCGAATAAGCATCAAGTTTGGGATGCAAATGCATCCAAGTGATAAGTCCTGAACAGGACGAAACTAACGTCCTGGATTCCACGCTAGCCACTACTCATCTCTACTTATAATGAATTTTAAATTATTCAGGATAATACATAAAGCTGATGAGTTAATTATGATTTTTCTCTATCATGTAGAAAAAATTGGCGGAAACATCCTTATCATGGCATGCAAAGTTCCTTTTTTCAGATCCTATTTAAAGAATTACTATGATCAATGAATCATATCTAGTGAAAAAAGCGTTAATTGTTTACTAATGTCATTTGAAGTTTTCCTATAAAGTTATGCTGTCAGAAGGGGTTTTGTGGATATTATAATAATTTTGATAGTTGAGATCATGAGTTGATTAAAGCTAGACCATCATGGAAAACCTGGAAGCGCTGGACGACCGTTTCATCCTATTGTAGGACTCCTCAGCAGTGCGCATCCACGATTCCGCCTCGCGAGATTCAAACCCAGGACATATCAGTCTCGCGCGCGAACGCTTAACCTTTAGACCACTGAGTCGGCATCCAGCGGTGTTAATGTCTAAATCCAACTAATCCTCGAAATTGAGTGACACATCCACCATTATCTGATAGGTACTGGGTTCAAATCTCTCGGGGCGGGACCATGTATGCGCACTTCTGAGGAGTCCCACAGTAGGACGAAACGGCCGTCCAGTGCTTCCCGGTTTCCTATGGTGGTCTAGCTTCAATTGACTGACGATCTCAACTATTAAAGTTATACTACTTGTCAGTAGTAAAAGTTGGTTTCAAAATTTATCCATTGCGAAAGCTGTGATTGTAAAAATGTTAGGTTCTTGAGAACTAATTTATAAATAAAACGTTTTGTATACGGCAATATGGAAGTGATTCACTTGGGATACACACATAGAAAAAAATAATGATCATTTGTAGTTATTAAATATTTACGAACAGAAATGTAGTTTAAACAATGTAAACAAAGGTAATAAGACAAGAAATTTAAAATCCATTAATGTAAAGTGGTTTAATATAATGTGGATTGATTTAAGTTAGTTAATAACACCGTTGGATGGCAGTTCAGTGATCTCGTGATTAAGCATTTGTGCGTGAGAATGATAGGTTCTCTGGTTTGAATCCCTCAAGCAGGATCGTGGGTGTGCACTACTAATGCGTCTCATGCTAGGATCAAAAATCCGTCCAATGCTTCCAGGTATTCCATGATGTTTTAGCTCTAATCGACTTGTGATTTCAACTATTAATGTTTTTCGCTATACTTTCACGTTTCGTAATATTTTACCACAATTTGAACTAATTATATACGGCTCTTAGGAATTAAAATACTCAAATAATTTGTAATGACTAATGTTTTAGTGGTCCGATATCTGACTCCAGTTATATCGCATAATGATTGCTATTGAAATATACATGCTGCCAATCTTTGTATATAATTATCGACTTAAATTGCGATAGCAAATGACGGAATTGAATAAGCCAAATACGAGAATGGGGTTTGAATACGTGTATTTTGTACACTCGTTGATCTAGACCGGATCATTGTGGAATAATCAATTGAATGGAATTCACCACCCTACATCAACTTCATTGACTACGAGAAAGCATTTGATAGCGTAGGAAGAACAACACTATGGAGGCTTCTTCAACACTATGGCGTTCCTGAGAAGATAGTCATTATCATACGGAATTCCTATGATGGATTAAAATGCAAAGTTGTGCATGGAGGACAGTTGACAAACTCGTTCAAAGTAAAGACTGGTGTCAGGCAAGGTTGCTTACTCTCACCCTTTCTCTTTCTCCTGATGATCAACTGGATCATGAAGACGTCAAGATCTGGGGGGGGGAACCACGGAATACAGTGGACATCGAGGATGCAGTTGGACAATCTAGATTTCGCAGATGATCTGGCCCTTCTATCCCAAACGCAACAACAAATGCAGGAGAAGACGACCAGGGTAGAAGCAGCCTCAGCAGCCGTAGGTCTCAATATACACAAAGGGAAAAGCAAAATTCTCCGATACAACACAGCATGCACCAATCCAATCACAATTGACGGAAAAATTTAGGTGGATGTTAAACACTTACATACCTGGACAGCGTCATTGATGAACACGGTGGATCTGATTGTGGTGTGAGCTACTTATATTCACATAAGTAGTATATAACGATAGTCAAGAACAGAATATATTTCGGTAAAAGATCGAGAAGGAAAGGACGGAAACTGAGGGCAATTGGTATGAAATCTGAGACGATGGACTGATATTTGCAAAAGGAACAGCCGAGTTTGAGACAATGGATTGATATTTTGCAAATTAAGTATTTACTGTATAGTTCTCAAATTTTAGTGAGATATTCTGTAATTTCGTGTACAAATACATTCGATTGCCTCCACTCGTGTTCTTGTTCACCACGCAAATGACTAATTACTTCCATATTTAATAGTTATGTATAAAGATGCCACAAGTATTTGGAGTTTAAGAACACCTTAACCAGTAACACATTCTATAATCGAAACATGCCAGCTCATTGAAATCAGAAGTCAGAAGAGGTTTGAAGATATATTTGATAGACTGATCTAAATTGGTTAGCGGTTGTAGGAGTAATTGAGCACAGTGTACCCACTCGTGATCTTGTACAGATACGTGATCGAGCGCCTTCAGCTAGCTGAGTCCATTAAAACTAATTTGGTCAGCATCAAATGTCAAAGATTTACAGAGCTATTGATTTACCGCCACATTTACGTAGTCTAAGTGAAATATCCTCATGAATATTCATTTAAATCAGTTCTTTATATGAATCCTCAGGAGTTTTTAATTAAGACATGGGCTACATATTTGAGCCGGGAGGCGGAATGTGATAGTCAGAACATTTTATTTTAATAAACAGAAAAATTAACTACATTCAATAGAAATATTTACTTTTCCTTACTTCACTTGAATGACTGGTTCTAGTTTTACGAGATTGTTGTGATAGAGATTGTGAATCGTATTTTCCACTAGTTTCAGATGTCTGTTTGTTATTTAATGAAAATGTATATAGAGAACAATTTAAAAAACAATATTATGAATGAATATAGAAATCTATGTATAAGTTAAGATAAATTAGAGTTAAATTTATCCTTATCAGTAAGGGAAGTTGTGGAGATTATAATATTTTTGATCTAAGTTAGATCATCATTGAAAATCTGAAAGTACTGTTTAGTCATTTCATCCTAGTACGCAACTCCTCAACATTGTACATCCACCATCCTGAATGAATGATTGAATGCACAATGTGGACGACTTCCATACCAGGACTCAACGGCTATCCAGTACTTCAAGGTTTCTAATAGTGGCCTAGATGAGACTGACTCCTGATTTCACTAGTGACTGTTTGTAAGTAGTATGGTGGTCTAACTTAGATCGGTCCATGAATTCAACTCTGAAAATATATAATTATCAGTATATGGTTGTGGGGATTGTTGATGTTTAGTTGAGATCAACTAACCGATCAATGTTAGACCACCAATGTAAACTTGGAAGCACTGGTCAGCCAGTGAATTTCAACCGTATCGGGTGTGAGGTAGTTACCCACTGAAGACAACAGAAGATGATCGCGCAATATCGTGGATTAGTTGAAGTTAGACACTAAAACCGTTGGATGCCGGTTCACTGGTCTAAATGTTGAGCATTCACGCGTGAGAATAATGGTCCTGGGTCCTAGTGATTTATGTGGGAACGTGGATGCATATTACTGAAGAGTCCAGTGCTTACATGTTTTCAATGGCGGACTGACATTAACAGGTCTATGAACTCAATTAAATATGTAAAACAAGTATTTGCCTTTAATTGGTTTATCCAAGATGCATATACAATAAGAAGCTAAATATTATGGCATAGTTTCCATACAAGATACCTAAAAGAGTAGAGGTTGATAGTTTTGGACTAAATTAGAGCAATTAACTAGTAATTCTTATGTTTCAATTTTTCCTCTCAGCTATTAACAGTTTCAAACATAAACTATCCACAGATATTTTATAGAATAGATGGGTTATGGTTAGTGCTGGAATGCAGAACTTGTACTTCCACCTAGTTAGCGTTCATCGAATGAATGTACACAAGTTCTATTGTTTGTTTTCTCATGGAGACTCGAATCCAGTACCTTTCACTCCAAATATCAACGTGTTATCAGTTGAGTTACTGAGTCAGTAACTTATTCAGCGCGCATGATGTTTATATCATTACTATTAAGAGACGGAATTATTCCTTTACCGAAATTTAGGACTGGATTTTCATATTAGTATCCATACTGGAGTGCTGTTATAACCACTTGAAGAGACCAAAATATGATAAAAGGTGTGTTCTATATTCCACTGTTATCCATCTATTTTAGATCTTCAGATTGTCATTAACTGCCAACTCATATTGATTTACATTGAAATGAAATACACACAAAAGTTTGTTAGTACTGTGGTGTAAGCTACTTATGTCTGTCGATATAAGTAGTTTGTAACATCAATCGGATGTAGAAAACTTGGCAGCAGAAGACTATGTAGGTCAACTTGAAGAAAACAGAAACGGAAATATGAACAAAATTATCACTTGGAAGAATCATATAGAATGTGAAGGACAAATGATGGAATTTTACAAATGAAGAATTCAGTGTGTGGTTCTCATAGTATAACAAGAGATCCCCGACTGAATGTTTATTCACAACAATACAAATTAATATCAGTTGAAGATTCAATGGGAAAACAAAGATCATCTAACAACAGTATCTCAACTTGGTTTCAAATTTATCATTTGTGTGTAGTCGTAAGGTCAGATGATATTGAAAACTGTTGACTAGTATCATTTTATAGTGAAATATCTCTCTCATTCTATCTAGTTTTTTAATAGTATACTTAAGTGATGTCAGTCTATGAATAAAATAATCTAATTAACTATATTTAATACAATGATCCTTAACAATTGACTCTGAACTAAATAGTGACTATAAGTTCACACATACTTTATTAGCTATTAGCTAATTATGCGTTTAGAATGAAGGAATTCTGTTTGTCATTAAGATCAAAGCCAGGCATTTCATCCTTCTTATCAACACTTAGATGTAGATGCATTCGACTAGCAATTCCCGAATAGGAGTAAATAGATGTTATGCATTTCACTAGTTGCCACAATCTACCTACCATATATAATCTGTGACATCATAGCTAATGTCGTTGAAGTTCACATTAGGACTTTTGGTGAGATTATAATTTATGGATGACTTTTGAGCAACATTAGAATGACCTTGAAAATTTCCATCAACTTACTAGCGCTAAATGAGGGTTATAAAACAGTTTGAAGAATAAGTATTATGATTTACAAATGATGGTTAGTGTTTTCATCACAAACTGATATCAGAGCTATAATGCCGAAATAGTATTTAGCCAAATCAAAGGATAAATTTCGTGCTAAAATCTAATGCCTGATCTCTTAAATCTGATTGGTTCATCCATAAGTTATAGTTTCACCGGTCTTTTACATAGTAACAAAGTTAGATCAAAATTCTTTTCTGAATGTTAGCAACACGATAATTCAGATCCTTTAATAATAATAATGACGTACTTATTTATTGTATAAAACAATGTTTCAGTTCATAGAATTTTAAGCAAATGTTTTGTAAACAACAAATTGTACAGTTTTATTACCTCTGACGAACGTCTTAACGTTGGTTGATGCATTGCTATGGATGGATTTGTTTGCTCTGCTAAATCAGTTATTCGTTTCCAATGATCACCATGATCCTAAAATAGAAAATTTACGAGAGAAAAAACATGATCAATTGAGCAATTAATCGATTGGTATAAAGAATCTGTGGAGATTGTAGAATTTTCACAGTTTAAGCCATGAAATAATTTAAACTAGATCATTAAAAATCTAGAAGCATTGGATCACTACTTCATCTTGGCATGTCATGTTTATTTAGTAGGCAACGTCACAGATACACCTTGTAAATAAGTATGGAGTAGCACAAAATCTAGTCTCATGTATTCCTATCAATTAACTCCAGCTACTGAACATCTCAATATATTGGACACGGTGCTGAGTCACTTAGACTAATGTCCATATTATAACCTGGTCTATGAATATTAAATAAAAATATGACGTTGATCACCAATCAGTGGTCCATGAATTGTAAATATCATACTCTTAAAGGAGCCTAGGCATGGTCTGAATAGCTCGCTAATAATGTTTCATACTGTAAACCTTAGTAATTCATATTCAAATCTCACGGTGATCATCGATTCCCGCGAGATACAAGGTACGCACTACTGACGAATGCCAAACAGCATAAAACGTAGATTGAGTATTTCTTTTCAACTACTTCCGATCAATGAACAGTGTTGAATGCATTCAATTCAATAAAAATCCAAGATCAATCCAAATGTTATCAGTTACAAATAAACTGTCTATAATACCTCTTATTCAAATTTGTATTCTCATATTTGGTTAACTGAAAAGATGGAAAACCTAGAAGCACTGGATTGCCATTTCGCTCTATTGTGTGGCTTTTCAACATAACTATGTTAGTTAACAATTAAATGACAAATGAATATCTGTTTTAATTGTGAAAAACTGAACTTGAAGCAATGAAAAACTTAGATTTTCATAATACAAAAAGGAAGATAAAAATTGGCAAGGAATGAAGATCCGACTCACACGTCCACGTCGTGCCTCTTGGATAATGAGACGAATGACTCATGAACTAACATGAGCGGTAACCCGAGTGGTGGAGATCGGGCTAATCACTCACTCTTACCTATACCCATCAATCGATTACGAATCCCACAGAGAAACATAACATAAAACATTACAATAATCTGTTAAACAAATATGCTTATTTTTACACTAATTTCATCGGGATTTAGTAATTAGTCAACAAATACTATATATATACGTCTGACATAAAAGAAGTACGAAATGGATTTTATACTGGACTAATGAAAACAAAGATTATTTTTAAGTATAGATCATATTGAATTAGTACAAAGAAGTGTACTGGATTCAAGGGTAAAACTGTTATGTTTAGTGGTATATCACAACTACATGGGCTATTCTGACTTTCCGACAGACTAATCAATGTATTCTTCTTGGATCACGTTTTGACCTTGTCAATTACTTGTCTATAATCTCGACTGTCTTTTAGTTGAGCGTACATATGTATACCGCATATTCTATTCATCATGTGTCATTAGTTTATTTAGTCTAGTTATGAACAGGGTGTCAAGCTTTATCAAGAGGAGTTGGGAAGCTTCTCGTTTTCCCGCTTCTCACTTTAATATCTGTCTGAATAAACAAATGAATGGATAAATTCTTCCTGTTCAGTTCGTATTTAGCTTCTTACTACCCCTTGCCCCATCGCTTAAATGATGATAACCTAGTTTTAATATACAAAGCTTAACTAAAGTTTTACATTCATGGAATCAGATATCCAGTCACTAAAGTGATGAACACTAAGTCAGAATCAAATCAACGATCTATTAAAGAATAAATGATTTACTGAATAAATATTACACTAAAACTTTAACATGATCTTGCATTTTTACTCCATTCTAATAATAACAATATTGATTATTTGCAAAGATCGATAATGGATAGCATTGGAATCTAGCTTGACGGGCGTTTCGTCCTCAGAGTTGATGTTCACTCTGAGGCTCGAACTCAGCACCATTCGCTCCAAATGCCATCGCTTTATCAACTTAGCTATTGAGTCATGATGTCTGCTTGCTTGTGCAATCGGTATTGTTTTTGATTGAGATCATGAACCGATTGATGTTAGAACACTTTTGAAAACCTGGAATCACTGGACGGTCGTTCCGTCCTATTGTGGGACTCCTCAGCAGTGTGCAACCACGATCCTGCTCGTCGGATTCGAACTCAGGGCCTTCAGTCTAGCGCGCGAAAGCTTGACCTACTGGACCACTGAGCCGGCATCCAATGGTGTTGATGTTTAACCTCAACCAATCCACGAAATTGCGTGAAGATCTTTCATTGTTTTTTTTAATCTTCCTATTGATGTTTAGGAATGCAATTGATCAGTCTGTTATTGGCATATGTGCATGCCCATATATTGATTATTGTTTTTAAAGTAAATAAAATGTATTATTCATGATAATCAAACTTACTTGAATGTTAATTGGCAATGCATTGATACGATTGATTGTTTTACCTAATTCACTGGTTTCAAATAAGGATTGACGTTTTTTAATCTGATAAGATTTATCCTGTGAATTGGATAATTTCATGAGTTGTTCATAATTTGCTTTTTCTGATTAAATTTATGATCTGCTAGGTCTTCTTTTCTCTTAGTTTTTCGCTAATCACTGTTATCCTCGATCGCCCTTTGAAATTGATTGATTGAAAACTTTACAACAGCAACAACAACAACAACAACAACAACAACAAAATCGATTCGTATCTTCAAAAAAATGGTAATCTAGTGATAAATTGAATTGATCATCAAAGAGATTGATTCCTTACATAATCTGATCGTTATACTAACAATAATAAAAAGAACTCGATAATTTGCTTATGGATATGTGCTAAGAGAAGAGAAAAATAATACGAACAACCAATCATATAATGGTGATCAGTGTTTTTAATTTATTTTAACATATGCTGAAGTGATAATTTGTAAAACAGATCATGTGGTTCGTAAGAATAGTTACCATGGTGATTAGTTTGTTTATACATATATATAATGTTGGGTAATATTGAGGACAGGTTAATATTGAATGACAATAGTATTCATAATAATAATATTAGTTTTCAATCGTAGTTAGTGTATTGCGAAGTGTTATAAAGATAGAGGTATTCACAAATACTAAAAACAATCTAAGCTAGCCCTCTTAGTTAAACCATTGTAGATGTATTGATGATGATAACTTTTAGTTTAAATATACTTAAAGAAAGAGATTCGTTTACAATTGGTGTTCCGGAGTAAATGTAAACTTTAAGGTTCAGGTACATCTGGCTGATGAATCTAAAGTGGAACGAAACGCACGTTCTGGATTTCACTGCTAACCATAGTCTATCTGTTCTATATAAACTAGTGAAGAAAGTTTGAATTGATACCAATTGAATAATTCTGTATAGATAGTATAAGCTGTGGAGATTGGTAAATTCTAAATATTCCCAACCATCGAAAACCTGGAATTGTTGGACAGTTATTTCGTTATAGTATGAGATGCCTTAGTGGTGAACATCTAAGACATCACCTAGACCAACAGGTTATTCGGCGAATGCTCTATATGTAGAATATTTAATGGACAACCGTTGTCTTTTACTTCATGTTACGATAAGACAGCTGTCCGATGCCTTCTGGTTTTCAGTGATTATTTAACTTAAATTAGCCCTTAATAGATAAGTTGAAATAGATTTATCGTTACAAATACTATTATAACAATAAACATGTATTTAATAAATGGTAAATATAAGAGATAACTCTCCGAATTGTCATAAGAAGCCATGATAGATGAAGAGCAAAACTCTTGAGTTTAAGAAATATCACCAATAATGAAAGATGTTGTTGGCACAATACCTTAAATCTACTGCGACCAAAAATCCATACTATTAGATTCCAGGTTATTTGTTTGTAGGTTAACTGTTCACCGTGAAGCTTGAAGGTTCTTTGAAAGAATCTTGATGGGTCATGGATCTCTACTGCTAAGAAATTCAATGCGCTTGCCTTGTGTCACAGTTGGATGCGCTCCTCAGTTCTATTCAATTTACTTGAGAGGTCAACTGCTCGCTACAGCTATGCTATAAATGTGTTCAGTCTGGTAATAAACTACAATCATCTAAACTCTACCTATTCTAGTAGATATGTTAATACATACAACACCATTAAATATGATGTTTGTAATAGGATTAGGAAAGAGGGAAAATAAAAATACGGCATGTTTTGTATTGGATTGTTAATGGCGTTAAGATTTCTTTTTCATCTTTATAAACATTAATCTTGGCAAACTTGTTTATCCGAACTAACAGTAGAACAAGAAGAAAAAGAAAAACAACAACAACAAAAGAATGTAAACAACAACATGTCAGAATACTAGAGAACTCCAAAGGGAAAAAAGTTATTTATAAACGTATGTAATGAGATCAAGTTCAAATAAATGATGAAAGAGTTGACAATATGACTAGATATTTTAGAATAGGAAAGAGTGGATACGTAGTTATAGTATGTATGATTACTGAGATCCAATTTTCGGCATATTAATTCTTTACATACCTATCTAAAACATCTGTATGACATTCAAGATTAAACAGTTTGATACAGCTTTCCTTATCCATTGAAAAAAAATCTATCAATTACAACACTATCGTTGGTAGGAATTGCGCCAGGTTTTCTTTCTGAGCGAAGGGCCAATATATAATTTTTTTATGGTTAGGGTTTTTTTTAGTTTTTTACGGGATGGGGTCACCAACCCCATGCCCAACCCTCCTCCATTATCCGGGCTCGGGACCGGCAGTAGCCCCCGGAGGGACTCCAGGCGGGCCAACATATATATATATATATATATATATATATATATATATATATATATATATATATATATGCATGATTTTTATCAGTATGGGTATTTGTGAAGATTGTAGTATTTTCACAGTTGAATTTAAAGCTAGGCAACTATTAAAGGGCTGGAAGCATTGAACGGCCGTTGCATCCTAGTAAGGAAGTTGTCAGCAGTACACATTCAATCATTCATGCAGAATCGTGGATTCGTTTTTTTACCGATTCTGAATCATATCAACCAATATCTCCAACTATTGGTCATGGTTATTGTGTGCACCACAAACATGTAATGAAAACTCAACGCGACTCAATCCAACAGTAAATGAATTTATTAACTAATGTAATATTGTGGTGTATGATACTGATATCGATTCGTCAATTCAGCTGTGAAAATACTACAATCTCCATACCTATATCAATCATGTGTTCACTAATGATTAGCTTGAAGGTGTAACTCGTGGAGTTCTAGTGAAAAGGCATGATCAATGGAGTCCCATTCATGTTGAGCATAAAACAATAATCTACCTCAGACAATGAATAAAGGGTTGCACGTGGTTATATATGGTTTTAGAAAGAGACATATTCTGGCATGAGCCTCTGCAATGTATAGCATAATTTCATTTATTGACAAAATTTATTATATATAAAATTTCTAAAATCTTCACAAAACACCTTCTGATAATAATCATCTGCTCACTAGTGACTGACTTCAAGAGATACTCCTGGAGTTCTAGTGAGAAGCCGTTAACAGTGGAGTTCAACTAGGTCTGTTGTGAGATATCAGCTCACTGAAGACAATGGTGTACGGTGGTGCAACTTCGTGGATTGGTTGAATTTAGACATTAACACCGCTGGATGCCGGCTCAGTGGTTTAGTTGGTTAAGCGCCTGGCGCGAGACTGATAGGTCCTGGTTTCGAATCTCACGGGGTGCGGGGTCGTGGATGTGCACTTCTGAGGAGTCCCATACTAGGACGAAAAGGCCATCCAGTGCTCTCAGGTTTTCCATGGTGGTCTAGCTTCATTGGACTCAAGATTTCAATCTGTGAAATTTCTAAAATCTCTACAACTCCCTTCTGATTATGACAAACATAGTCGAAAAACTTAATGGTTTCGAAAATTCCAATACCATTTCATGAAAGAAGGCAATTCATTGAAGGAGAATTTTTGTTTCAACGATCTCATTCACTTCAACTGTACAGTCGTATTCATAATTGATTTTATTTACTAAAATAGTATTCCATGGTAAACTAGATTGGTGTTAACTATTTAAATAACTAGAAGTGGTATATTGTCAAGATGTAAAAATCATTATATAATAATCGTCTGGTGTAAAATTGGTAAGGTGAAGATAAATTAGCCATTTGACAACTAATAAAGATAGATGTTAAGCGTCCATGCGCGTGACTGATAGGTCCTGGGTTCGAATCCCTCTAGGCGGGATCGTGGATGTGTATTGCTGAGGAGTCCCACACTAGAACGAAACGGCCTCTACCTAGGTTCAATCGACTAATGAACTCAATTATTAAATTACTATAATATCCACGAAACCCCTTTCTGACCTATGCTGTATATAAGTTTTTCATGTGTATTCACATATCGCCGACTCTTCTGATTATATATATGATCTTGAATGAAGCTACTAGTAAAGTAGATTAACCGAACTTGACTAGACGCTCTAAGATTGAATTGACTTATTAGTATATGAAAATTATAAATCAATTACATCATTTGTAAATCTTTTTTTTAATTGTCTCTTACAAACTTGATCATCCCATTATTCCTGTTATTATTTTATTATCATTACTCGTAGTTATACTACTTCCAATTAACACCACAATACTACTTATAGTATCAATATAAGTAGTATACACTACTATACTACTAATATTTCTACTTAAATATATCTCAATGTCATAAATTTTAAGATCATGAAATATAATAAATCTATGTAGACTTATATTGTAAACCTTCTTCTCTATAACCATGTTGTTTTTTGAATCATTGTTAACGTTTTTTTCCTACGACGAAGAAGAAGAAACCACAAACTGACCATCTGTTTTTATTGAAAGATGTTGAATGAAATGATTTTCACATTTAGATAACGATCAACATCATCATCATTATCATCATCATCATCATCTTCTTCTTCTTCTTCATCATCATCATCATCGGATAACAGAAAATGAAGTCTAAAGTTGAATTATGACTAATTAGTATGAATATATCATAAAGGATTCAGTCTATAACTTATCCATTCTCTATATTATCACTTAATCTAAGTTGATGCATATATATACGTATTTAAGTAGTAAATAAATGTCACATATAAATAAATTTATGATTTAAATACAGTAATAATGTATATTTAACAAGCATTTGAAAACTAAATCTTTCATCATTAACATAAGTACATAAATTAAGTATAATTCAGTTAATGTTTATATTGATGAGTATTACAAATAGTAGTAGTAGTAATGGTTTCTTGATCTTTATCATTATCAATATAATTCTATTGTAAAATGAAGATGATTTCTCTTCTGTTGGAGAAAATATCTTTTGATATTTATTACTAATAGAGATAGATTCTCTTGCTGGAAGTTTACTGGAATCTTCCCATTGTTGTTTTAGGAGTGTAATTGATCAGTCTCTTATCGGCAAATGTGCATCCGGTGCGGATTGCCTCGATATTGACTTAATTCACAAGTATTATAAGATGAATAGTGGCT